ATATTATTACAAAGGTTCCTCATTTCTTCCCCCCTCCACCAGGTTCCCACCCCACCTCTGCCCCCTCCCCATCCCCCATTGTCCTCATCCATAGGTGCAGTTTATGTTCAGTCTCTTCTTCCCTCAATTTCCCCGATAGTAAATCCCTTTTCAGATAGTAAATCAGTTACTTAGCATTTTCTCATATCAATAATACCTCCACATGCCCAATGATACACTTCACACAAAAGACATTTCCCAATAGGTCCACCAGCCTGATCTAGGCCCCACCCAAGGCACTCACAGATCAACACCCCAGCCCTATACTAACTCAACACATCCAGATCTAAGCCTTCATCACTTGATTCAGCAGACCCTCAAGTTCCCACGAAAGTTTCCAGCCATGTCTGAGAGGCAGCCATGGGGCAGGGGCAGGCGAGGAGTGAGCTGTTCCGGGCCTGGCTGCTCAGGGCCTGGCCTCTGTTGCTCTGGTTCGTTCCACAACCAGCTGCTCCGGGTCTGGTCACTGCCGCTCCCGACCTAGTTGCTCTGGACTTGGCTGCTGCTGCTCCGGGCCTGGCCGCACCCGACCCGGCTGCTCCCCCGGGCCTGGCCGCTCCCAGCCTGGCAGCCGCTGCTCCGGGCCTGGCCACACCCGACCCGGCTGCTCCCCCGGGCCTGGCCGCTCCCAGCCTGGCAGCCGCTGCTCCGGGCCTGGCCGCACCAGCCCCGCCTGCTCCCCCGGGCCTGGCCGCTCCCAGCCTGGCAGCCGCTGCTCCGGGCCTGGCCGCACCAGCCCCGCCTGCTCCCCCGGGCCTGGCCGCTCCCGGCCTGGCAGCCGCTGCTCCGGGCCTGGCCGCACCCGACCCGCCTGCTCCCCCGGGCCTGGCCGCTCCCAGCCTGGCAGCCGCTGCTCCGGGCCTGGCCGCACCAGCCCCGCCTGCTCCACCGGGCCTGGCCGCTCCCAGCCTGGCAGCCGCTGCTCCGGGCCTGGCCGCACCAGCCCCGCCTGCTCCACCGGGCCTGGCAGCCGCTATTCCGGGCCTGGCCGCACCCGACCCGCCTGCTCCCCCGGGCCTGGCCGCTCCCAGCCTGGCAGCCGCTGCTCCGGGCCTGGCCGCACCCGACCCGCCTGCTCCCCCGGGCCTGGCCGCTCCCAGCCTGGCAGCCGCTGCTCCGGGCCTGGCCGCACCCGACCCGGCTGCTCCCCCGGGCCTGGCCGCTCCCAGCCTGGCAGCCGCTGCTCCGGGCCTGGCCGCACCCGACCCGCCTGCTCCCCCGGGCCTGGCCGCTCCCAGCCTGGCAGCCGCTGCTCCGGGCCTGGCCGCACCAGCCCCGGCTGCTCCCCCGGGCCTGGCCGCTCCCAGCCTGGCAGCCGCTGCTCCGGGCCTGGCCGCACCTGACCCGGCTGCTCCCCCGGGCCTGGCTGCTCCCAGCCTGGCAGCCGCCGCTCCGGGCCTGGCCACTCCCGACCTGGATGCTCTGGGCTTGGCTACTGCTGTTTTGGGTCTGGCTGCTCCCACCCCGGCTGCTCTGGGCCCGGCTTCTCCAGGCCCGGCCACTCCGGGTCTGGGTGTTCCTGGACTGGCCACCCTGGGCTTGGCCGCCTCCGCCTCATGACTGGCTGCCACTGCCCCAGGTCTGGCTACTCCAGTGCTGGCTGTTGATGCTCTGGTTCTGGCTGCTGTTGTTCTGGGGCCTGGCCGTTGCTGCTCCGGGTCTGGCTGCCACTGCCTTGTGCCTGGCCACTCTAGGCCTGGCCACCGCTGTTCCAACATTCTGTCCTTTTTTTTTTTCTTTTTTCTTTTTAAAACGCATTTATGTTGCAATGTTGGCTGGTGAGTTGAGTTCTGACTTAGTCTTTGATTTTTCAAGATCTTCTTTGTATTCTTTCTTAAGTAATTTTACTATTTTTTGCTCTCACTTGATTTCTTCACATTGAGAACTTCTTTGATTTCTTCCTCCTTGTCCTGGGAGCTCAGCAGGTTGGCCTGTGGCACCCCTTTGTTCTCCGCGGGCTCCTGCGCTGCTTCAGTCTGTTGCCAGGGACGGCGCCGCCCAGGAAGCAGCCTCCGGCCTTGGCTCCATTGCCCGAGCTCAGTGGTCAAAGGCTCAGGGGCACCCACGCCCCCAGGGGTCCCGAGCCCGCCTCCTTGCTGGTGCCCGGTTGGCTGGAGTCCGGCAGGGGCTTCTGCTCCCCTCCGTGTTCCCCCAGCCTAGAGCTTTTTTTTTTTTTTTCTCCTTCCCGCTAGAGAAATCCAGCATCAGAGTCAACAGACTGTCCTCTGCGCGCAGTTTGCGCGAGTCCCACAGACTGTCCTCTGCGCACAGTTTGCGCGAGTCCCGGGGGCCCGGCCTTTCGCGCTCTCCCCAGACTCCACCTCACAGCCCCGTCTCCCTCTGCCTGAGCCTGGGTCCCCAGGGATTAGCCCAGAACTGGGGTTCGGAGCAGTCCGGACTGAGGCTCAGCGCCGCCGGAGGCCTTGTTTCTTCCCAGCCTCAGAGTCAGCATTCAGTCCTCTGCTCGCATTGCGCACGACTCCCGGGGCCCTGCTTTTCGCCGTTTTTCCGCCTCCCGGGGCCCTGCTTTTCGCCGTTTTTCCGCCTCACGGCCCTGTCTCCTCCCGCCGGAGCCTGGGTCCCCAGGGTCTGGCCCATAACTGGGGCTCAGCGCTGCCGTTTCGGGGGGGCTCAGCGCTGCCGGTTCGGGGGTTCAGCCCAGGCTGGGGGTTTTATTTGCTTCCTGCTAGGGAAGGAAAGGCGGCTCCCCGCCCTCTCCTCCTCTCCGGCTGCGACCTCTCCAAGCGTGCGGGCGGGCACGCGCGCGCAGCATGTCTCCGTACCTTAGGCTTTTTTTCAGCTCCTCTGATTTTCTTTCTGGTTTTCTCTTTCCTTCTTGTTGTAGAAATTTCAGTCAGTCGACTACCTGTAGCTCTGGGCAATGTCCACTCTACATTTTAGTTGTATTCCATTGAAATTGTTGTGTGCTGCCGTGGCTAGATGTCTACCCGAGCAGCCATCTTGGATCCTCTCAACGATTGAAATTTCTTTTGAGAGCCAAGTTTTTTAAACTTCTACTAACACCTCTTCTTCAAAATAGACTTGCCCCGGCCGTGGTATTTTGTGGAGGAGCCACACTCACGGGGCCAAAGAGCTGCATGTGGCTCTTGAACCGCAGTTTGCCAACCACGGAGCTAAGCACTTCCCTATGACACAGAAAACTCTTTGAAAAAATTGTTTTAGTTTTTTTTTTAGAGAGAGGAAGGGAGAGACAGACATTGATCTGTTCCACCCATTTATGCACTCATTGGTTGATTCTTATATGTGCCCTGATTGGGGATCCAACCTTAGCTTATTAGAATGACACTCTTAGCTAACTGAGCTTCCTGGCCACGGCGAGAACATAGGCACTTATTATTCAGTATACATATACCAGATTTACTTAACCGTTCCCGTGAGGTTGAACATTGATTCTTTCACAGTCATTAAAAAAGAAACCTTAAGCCGAAACCTGTTTGGCTCAGTGGTAGAGCGTCGGTCTGCGGACTGAAAGGTCCCGGGTTCGATTCCGGTCAGGGGCATGTACATTGGTTGTGGGCACATCCCCGGGGTGTGCAAGAGGCAGCTGGTCGATGTTTCTCTCTCATCGACGTTTCTAGCTCTCTATCTCTTTCCCTTTCTCTCTGTAAAAAATCAATAAAATATATGTTTTTTTAAAAAGAAACCTTAAAATAGATCTCTTAAGGCTTTTTTATAATACTGTCAGATTTCCCCCAAAAAAAGATTGAGTGGGCATTAGTTCATTACTGTAGTGTTTTGTTTTATTTTTTAAAGAGAGAATGACAATCTCCCAGGTATACTGTGCCATTTAAAGGCACCAGCATGGATTGTCACTCTGGACTGTTGGAGAGCCTGGATCTCAGGACTGCTTCCTTAGCCACAGCCCCTGGGTGCCAGGGAGGGATCACGGTGGGGTTCTCCCGTCTCTTGGGGATGAGTCCCCACCCCAGTGCACCCAATGTGCTGCTTCCTTGAGGGCAGAGGCATGGCAGCCAGGGCTGCGCAGGGGGGCGGCAATCTGCTCATGGATAATTACAAGTTTACTGCGGCAGTTCTGTTTTATATTTTTTATAAACTGAATTCTTTACGTTTAAGAATTTAAATACTTTTTACCTAACTTACAAACAACATCACTAGTTTAAAGCAATTTAAATATCTTTTTTTTAAAATATATTTTATTGATTTTTCACGGAGAGGAAGGGAGAGGGATAGAGAGCTAGAAACATCGATGAGAGAGAAACATCGACCAGCTGCCTCCTGCACATCCCCCACCAGAGATGTGCCCGCAACCAATATACATGTCCTTGACCTGAATCGAACCTGGGACCCTTCAGTCCGCAGACTGACGCTTTATCCACTGAGCCAAACCGGTTTCGGCTAAATAATAATATCTTAAAGACTTCCTCTTATATTTGATACTATTTCTTTAAACACAGCTGGTTTTTATTTCCTGAATAGAGTGACTTTTTAAAAGAATTATAGTTTATGTATTCCTGAAGTTTAAGTATAGATAGGGGAGAATTTCAGGCCTGGCAGAGATATGTAGCATATTGGATATGAGTTGTTTTTATGATGAGAGAAGCTTGGACAATTTTGTTTTCTCTTACTGCAGTATTATCCAGACAGTAAGGCTGCATATGGACCAATTCCCTTCAGTAATGTCTGGTTATTATGATTTTGAAAATCATAAGCATTTCACATATATCAATCCTTTTTATTTTTAAGTTATTTGGAAATTTGACCTTTGGCCTTTTTTATTTTTTTATTTTATTTTTTATTTTTTATTTATTTTGGGTTGTGTGTTTTTTTAAACATTCCATTAGAAAGAAGTTTGTGGGTGGTATTTATATTGTTGCCAATCACACAGCTGGCAGTTACCCTTCCCATTGCATTCCTGTTAGAATACTTAATAGCAATTTGTTTCTTGTTTAGTAACAAAAAGTATCCTCTTTCCTTCACAGATACAAGTAGTAACAGAGTTAAAAACGGAGCAAGATCCCAACTGCTCTGAACCTGATGTGGAAGGAGTGAGCCCACCCCCTGTGGGGTCCCAGACACCGATGGATGCAGACAAGCAGGCCATTTATAGGTAGCGAAGAGATGGGAAGCATGTGGGTTTAAGAGGAATAACGAGGGTAGAACACCTTGTTAAAGGGAACGTTAGAGCTATTAGCTAGGCAGAGTAAGATATGATGTGGTAACTACTGGGGTGAAGATTTTTTTCAGATTAAGATATTATTTCTAATATATTTCTTTAAAAAAGTTTTGTAACATAAATCACATTTTAGTTCACCTTGTGAAAAATAATATTCAGGCCCAGGTGATTTTACTGAAGAATCCTATCACCTTATGAGAAAAAAGCAGCATGTCTACACAATCTTATCCAGAAAATAGAAGATGAAGACTACTTCCCAATTCATTTTACAAACTGAGCAAACATAGCAGTCCCAAAAAATTCACAGACAAGTATGCCTCATGAATTTGGACATAAAATCATCAATAAAATAGGAGGAAATTGAATCCAGCCACAAAAATAATAGAATAATATATAATGACCAAGTGGAGTTTATGCCAGGAATGCAAGACTAGTTCACTGTTCAAAGATCAAGCAATGAGATTCACAGTGTGATCATATCAAGTGATGCAGGAAAGCATTTAACAAAATCAAGAGCTAATTATTATTTAAAACTGTCAGCAAAGGAGAACTTTCTTAACCTGATAAAGGGCAACTATAAAGCCCCATAGCTCACATCAGACTTGATGGTGAAAGATTAAATACTTTCCCCTAAGATTGGCAATGAGAGATGTCCACCCTAACTCTTTTTTTTTTTTTTTTAAATATATTTTTTATTGATTTTGTACAGAGAAGAAGGGAGAGAGATAGAGAGTTAGAAACATCGATGATAGTCATCGATCAGCTGCCTCTTGCACACCCCCTACTGGGGATATGTGAGAGGGCGGGGTGAGGGGGCAGGCGGGGCGAGAGGGCAGGTGGGGTGAGAGGGCAGGTGGGGGCGGGTCCAGCTCCAGGTAACTGGACCCTAGGTCTAACCCAACCAATCAGGTCAGCCAAGGTAGCAGCACCACCCTCCCTATAAAACCCACTGATATGTTAAGTTCTTCCTCTTTCTCGCCCATGCCCTCGTTGGTGTAGGTGAGACTGGGCTCGGACTAGTCCGAAATAAATACAGGCTTTCTGCAATTGCATCGGATTCGGCTCCCTGGTAGTCTTTGGGGTTTATGACACTTGGGCACAACATATGCCCGCAACCAAGGTACATGCCCTTGACCGGAATCGAACCCGGGACCCTTCAGTCCCCAAGCCGACGCTCTAGCCATTGAGCCAAACCGGTCTCGGCCACCCTAACTCTTTTTATTCAACACTGTAATAAAAGTCCTAGCCAGGGCCCTAAGACAAGAAAAAGATTAAAAGGAAGAAAAAAAACTCAATTTGTGTATTGTACTCAATACACAAATGACATGATTATCGAGAGAAAATTCCAGCATCTACCAAAAGACTTCCAGGTACATAGTTAATTTTTTTCATATATATATATATATATATATATATATATATATATATATATATAAATTGATTTTTTACAGAGAGGAGAAGAGAGAGACAGAGAACTAGAAATGTCATTGAGAGAGAAACACCAACCAGCTGCCTCTTGCAAACCCCCTACCGGGGATGTGCCCGCAACCAATGTACATGCCCCTGACTGGAATCAAACCCGGGACCCTTCAGTCCGCAGGCTGACGCTCTACCACTGAGCCAAACTGGTTTCGGCAGGTACATAGTTAATTTAATAAGGTAAGAGGTTACATGTGCAACACACTAACACCAACCCTATTTCTATATCTGTAACATACAAATGGAAACAGAAAACAAAAAGAAAGTACATTTATCAGAATTCAAAAAAACTTAGATATAAATCATACCTGTAAAATGTTGATACAAGCAAATCAAAGACAACCTAATAAATGGCAGGGCATACCATGTTTATGGATTCAAAGATTCAATGTAATACAGATGACTGTTCTCCTAAAATCAGGCTGTAGACTTAATACAATTCCAATTAAGTTTTATCAGGATACTTTTGTGCATATAGACAAGTTCATTCTATATTTTATATAGAAGTCAGAAGAACTAGATCAACTAAAATTTGAAAAAGAATAAAGGAGGAATCAAATCTATTTGATCTTAAGATTTGCTATCATGTTACAGTAATTAAGACATTGTGATATTTGTGAAGGGATAGATACACATAGATCAATGCCACAGAGAGAATTTAGAAATAAATCTACACAAATATGATTTGATCTTTAGCTAAGGTGTGGAAACAATTCAATAAGAGAAAAGGTAGACTTTTGGACAGATAGTGTTAGAACAATAGGATATCTATATTCAGAAAAGATCCTTGACCTACTTTGACATCTTATACAAAAAGTTACTCAAAATGGACTATCGACCTAAATGTAAATTTTAAAACTGTAAAATTGGTACATCCATATAATGTATATTATTTGGCCATAAAGAAGGAATGAGGTACTGATACCTGTTACAGCATCAATAAATCTTGAAAACATGCTAAATGAAAGATGCCAGACACAAAAGATCTCATATATATATAAAAGAAGGCTAATATGCATATTGTCCTCTTGGGAGACTGGGAGTTTAACCACTCTCTATGATATGCACTGACCACCAGGGGCCAGTGCCAAATGAAGGAAGGCCCCGGCCAGCAGCCAGAAGGCCCTGATTGGCCCTGATCACCAGCCAAGCCTAGGGACCCTACCCATGTATGAATCTCGTGCAACGGGCCTCTAGTATTATATGAAATGTCTACAATTGGCAAATCTATAGAGACAAAAAACAGATTAGTGGTGGCCTAGGGATGGGACTTAGGGGTAAAATAATGTAAACTGCTAATGGCTACAGAGTTTCTTTGGGGGTATGATGAAAATGTTCTAAAATTGATTGTGATGGTTACACAACTTTGTGAATGTACTAAAAATTGTTGAATTGCAAACTTTGAAGAGATAAATTATATATTACATCAATTATATTTTAATGAAGTTGATATGTCAAATAATGTGTACATATGTACATACCAAACAATCTCATGCCATATGTAGAGTGTACATTTTTTTCTTTTCCCCCCAGGCATCCACTCTTTCCATTATTAGCTTTGTTGTTTGAAAAATGTGAGCAATCCACGCAGGGCTCAGAAGGTACAACTTCTGCCAGTTTTGATGTGGACATTGAAAATTTTGTAAGGAAGCAAGAGAAGGAAGGAAAACCCTTCTTTTGTGAAGATCCAGAAACTGACAATTTAGTGAGTAAATTAATGTGGCTTTTTTTATTTCTTCCAAATTTAAAATCTGTTTAATAAATTTTAAACTTCCAGTTAAAACTTTAGACTCTGTAGTTCTGCTAAAGGGGAGAATTGCACAATTCATGAGATAACGTGTGTGTGTGACTTGAATGTCTCCCAGTCTTCTCTCGTTACCCTTTCCTCTTAGCAAATAAGCTGGCGCAGCCTCCATCTTAAATGGGCCAGGGGATTCAGTTCTCTCTTAAACGTTTGAAAGGTTCATCTGGGTTGACATGCTCACCTGCCTTGCTTCTCAGGCAGCATGTCAATGCTCAACTTCAGTCCCTGACTTTTCCTTGGCCATGGACACATGACTCTATTCTCCAAGACAGCTCTGCCTTGACGCTCACACTGATTTGTGGTGGATGAGAAAGTTAATCAAGACTTGGGGCCCAGCACTGAGCAGGGACAGGCTCCGAGGCCCCTCATGACCTGAAGCCAATCTGTCTGAAGCCAATCTGTCTCATATAAATGCCCTCCTCCTAGGTCCAGTGTTCTAAAATCCAGGGTTCTCTGCTTTTTGAAGGAAATGGAGAATTCTTTGGCGTTAATACACTGCTGCACCCAAGGGGAGCGGTGCCATTCAGTACTGTGGACACTGACAGCTGTGTCTGGGGTCCTCACTGGATTTCTGTTGAAGTCTGCTATGCTAGCTCCCAGATCAAAACCTTTGCCAGACTGTGGTCAGCAGAAAGGGTCTTTGGAAATCTTTTTCCTGGATAAATGCCCAGGTCTTCATTGCCGCTGTTTAAATTTCTTATTACATTTTTAACCATTATTGCCCAATAATAGATTTTAAGGTGAGTTGTCTGACGTTGAGTCTGTCTCTTCATCTTTTAAATGGAACTGACATTGCCTGCCCTTTTGCATTTAGGACCAGGGACTCTCTCTGCCTCTGGTCTGCCATACAGCATTAGCAAGTGAGGGGCAGAAGTGGCCACAGTGGCCCCAGGCTGGCAGGGACCAAAGCTCTCCTGACTGGTGTTAGGGCACAGGGCCTGACAGAGCTGGATGCTTGGTATTCCTCATTATTGACTCACTGGCTGATTGGTTCCTCCACAAGTACTGTGAATTACTACCCAAGGCCACAGGAAGAGGAGTTGAGGCAGGTGCTGCTGATGGTAATGGTTTCATTTACTGCTGTGGGACAGAGGGTAGTGAATTAATCCAAAATCATAAACTTAGAAAAATCATAAGAGAAAATCTTTAGGATCTAGGGCTAGGCAAAGAGTTCTTAGCCTTGACACCAAAAGCACGATCCATAAAAAGTAGAGATGGTAAGTTGAACATTATTAAACTTAAAGAACCACCTATGAGATGGATCTAGATCCATCCTAGTGTGTAGATGAAGCAGGAACAGAGTGAGGATTGGCAACTTGCTTGTAGGGCCTGAGGCAGTGGTGAAGCTGGCTGAGGCCTGGTGGTCCTGGCACTGTACTCGCTGAGGTTGCTCTGGCATTGTCCATCTTCCTGCGTATCAGAGGGAACAGGGGTCTGGTGCTGGGATGATGTCATTTTGCACAATATTTTATGTAATTCCACTTCTGTCACTGGCAGTACAGATGGACATGGCTGTGCAGGGTTCAGGCTAATAACCGAGAGTTGTTATGTGATGATGATTATAACTGAATGTCATGCTGCCTTTTCCTTGTCTGAAAGTTTTCATTTTCTCTGCTTTTAGATGGTCAAAGCAATCCAGGTTTTGCGTATTCATCTTCTTGAGCTGGAAAAGGTTAATGAACTCTGCAAAGATTTCTGCAGTCGATATATTGCTTGTCTAAAAACGAAGATGAACAGTGAAACTCTCTTAAGTGGAGAACCTGGAAGCCCGTACTCCCCTGTCCAGTCCCAGGTATTTATGATCAGGTCCTGCTCTACTTCCTGGTTGCTGTAACATCTACAAAGATGAACTGTGTTGATCCTGAGAACACCAGCCCTTTCAGAATCACAAGGCTGTCTTAATGGCTGTCCTGGCCCTCCAGATCTCTGACTCTGGCCTGGGCTCAGAGTGAATTCCAGACACCATCCACCTGGCTTCATATAGTGAATGCAGTGAGGCCCCGATCTGTATACTGGGCCCTGGGTCCTATGTTTCTGGAGTTACATCCATTTCTTTTTTCCTTTTTTTAAAATATATTAGAGGCCCAATGCACAAAATTCATGCAAAGGGCTCTGCCCTTGGGCCCCAGCTGCCTCACAGCCCCAGGGCCTGACCCCCTGCCCACTGGTCATTCTGGAAGGTCATCCTGCTGCCCGGTCTAATTAGCATATTAGCTCTTTATTAAATAGGATTTTTAAAAATTATAATATACAGATATCACAAAATGTACCATCCTAACCATGTTTAAGTGTACAGTTTAGTGGCTTTAAGCACATTAACATAATTGTGCAACTATCATCACCATCCATTTCCAGAACTTTCCATCTTTCCAAACTGAAACTCTGTCCTCATTAAACACTAACTTGCATCCCCCCACCCCAGCCCCTGACACCCACCATTATACTTTCTGTCTGTATGAATTTGACTCCTTTAAGGACCTTACGTAAGGGGAATCATTTGTCCTTTAAAAAAAAAAAATACATGTCTTACTGTTTTCAGAGAGGAGGGGAAGAAGGAGAGAGGGATAGGAACATTAATGATGAGAGAGAATCATGGATCAGCTGCCTCCTGCATAGCCCACACTAGGGATCAAGCCTGCAACCCAGGCATGTGCCCTGCTAGGAATCAAACCATGACCTCCTGGTTAATAGGTTGATGCTCAATCACTGAGCCACACCAGCTGGGCTGTCTTTTTGTATTTGGCCTATTTCACTCAGTATATGTCCTCAAGGTCCCTCCATCTTGGAGCCCTATTATGTTGTAGCCATTCTGATAGATTATAATGACATTCATTGTGCTTGGAACTTACATCTCCCTGGTGGCTAATGATGCTGACTATCTTTATGTGCTTATTTTCCCTCTGTATATCCTCTTCAGTAGAATGTCTTCTCATATCTTTTGCCCAATTTCTAATTGGATTTTTTAAAAACTGTTGACTTTTGAGAGTATTCCAGATATTAGTCTTTTATTGGATATACATTCTTCAAATATTTTTTCCAAGTCTGTAGCTTATTTTTCATTATCTTTTTTTTTAAGATACATTTTTCAGGAATTTTTAAAAAAATATATTTTATTGATTTTTTATAGAGAGGAAGAGAGAGAAATAGAGAGTTAGAAACATCGATGAGAGAAAATCATTGATCAGCTTCCTCTTGCACACCCCCTACTGGGAATGTGCCCGCAACCAAGGTACATGCCTTTGACCAGAATCGAACCCTGGACCATTCAGTCCGCAGGCCGACGCTCTATCCACTGAGCCAAACTGGTTTCGGCTATTTTTCATTATCTTATCAGTGTCCTTTGCAGAGCAAGCATTCACACGCCTCCCCCATCTTTATTTTATTTTATTTATTTAAATTTTTTCTTTCCCATCCTACCACCTCACCTCCCTTTTAGCAGCAATTGGCTTGTTCTCTATATCTTTGGGCCTGTTTTTTTGTTTATTCATTTGTTTTGTCCTTTTAGGTTCTGCATACAAGTGAAATCATATGGTATTTGTCCTCCTCTATCTCATTTTACTCTGCATAACCTCTAGTTCCATCCATGTTATTTCAAATGGCAAGATTTCATTCTTTTTATTGCTGAATAATAAAATTCTATGGTATATATGCACTGCATCTTTTTTATCCATTCAGCCATTGCTTCCATATCTTGGCTGTTATAAATAATTAGAGGCCCAATGCATGAAATTCGTGCAAGAATAAGCCTTCCTTTCCCCTTTGTTTCTAATTCTTTTTTTTTTTTTTTTTTCTAATTCTTTATCACCAGCAGCACTTACTGAAGAATCTGTCTTTACCTCATTGTGTATCTTTACCTCCTTTGTTGTACATTGACCATATAAGCAAGGACTTATTTCTGGACTTGCTATTCAACATTTTTTAAAATTGATAATTTCTACTTACCAACTTTTCCCTTTATGAGTAGTGATTTTTGTGTCAAGGTTAAGAACTCTTTCCCTAGCCTTAGTTAGATCCCAAAGATTTTCTCTCATTATTTTTTTATAAATTTTATATTTTACATTTAAATCCATGGTCTGTTTTGAGTTAACTTTTGTATAAAGCATGAGGATTTTGGCTGAGGTTCATTTGTTTGCCTCTGGATATCCAGTTGTCCAGCACCATTTGTTAAAAAGACTCCTTCCTCCATTGAATTGCTTTTGCACCTTGTCAAAAGTCAGTTGGGCATATATAAGATTTATTTCTGTGCCTTTTGTTCTGTTCAAATTTATATATCTATACCTTATAGTTTTGATTTCTGTAGTTGTATAATAAATCTCAAAATTCAATAGACTGATTCCTCTGACTATTCTTTTTCAGAATATTTTTTTCTCAAAACACTTGAGTTATTTATAGTTCCTTTGCCTTCCCATATAAATTTTAAAATAATCTTGTCTGTATCTACAAAAAAAAAAAGTTACTAAGATTTTGATAGAATTGGATTAAACCTGTATGTTGTTTTGGGGTGAATTGACATCTTTAATATGTTAACTCTTTCAGCTCACACACATGGTGTGTCTCCCCATTCATTTATTCTTTCTATGATTTCATTCATTAGACTCAACATAGGATTCCTGCCCATGTGTTTTTAGAATTACACTTCAGTATTTTTGTGTGGTTTTTCTTTTGTGTGTTTTGTTTTGTTTTGTTTTTTGAGCAATTATAAATGGTATAGTTTTAACTTTTGTCCTGTTAGTTTATAAAAATGCAGTTGGTTTTTATTTTTTATTTAAAAAATATATTTTATTGATTTTTTTACAGAGAGGAAGAGAGAGGGATAGAGAGTTAGAAACATCGATGAGAGAGAATCATCCATCAGCTGCCTCTTGCACACTCCCCATTGGGGATAACCAGAATCGAACCTGGGACCTTTCAGTCCACAAGCTGATGCTTTATCCACTGAAGCAAACCGGTTTCGGTTTGCAGTTGGTTTTTAAATGATTATCTTGTACCCTGTGGCCTTGCTGAACTCACTTAACTAGTTGTAACAGTCCTTTATATAGAGTCATTAAGACTTTCTGCCTATTTAGTCATGTCATCTGCAAATAGGGACAGTTTTGATTCTTTCTTTGTGATCTTTATCCTTTTTACTTCCATTTCTTGCTTTATTGCATTTACTTCCTTTTCTTGCTTTATTGCATAGAACATCTAGTACCATCTTGAATAGGATTAATGAGAGCAGGCATCCTTTGCTTGTTTCCTATCTTATGGGAAAAGTGTTTAGCCTTTCACTATTAATTTTTATTTTCATGGTAGTTTTCCCCCCTAGATGCTCTTTATCAAATTGAGGAAGTTCTCCAGCTATTTTCCTGAGAGTTTTTATTACATTGAATTTTTTCAAATGCATGGATTGATATGATTATTTGATTTTTCTTCTTTAGCCTGTTAATATGGTAGGTTACATCGAGTCTTTTAATATTGAGCAATCCTTGCATTCCTGGAATAAACTGCACTTGGTCATGGTGTGTAATTCTTTTTATATGGATTTCCGAATTGTCTTCTAATTGCTAATATTTTGTTAAGCATTTTTGTGTCTATATTGAGGGATATTGACCTGTACTTATCTTTTTTTTGGCACAGTCTTCATTTATGTTTGGCATTAGGATAATACAAGCTTCAGAAAATGAATTGGAGAGTGTTTCCTTCTCTTCTGTTTTTTTAGGGAGAGGTTGGAATTTGTATTAATTTTTCTCTAAGTGTTTGCTAGAATTCTTCAGTGATCCTACCTGGACCTGGAGATTTCTTTTTTTGGAGGTTTTTAAATTACAAATTTAGTTTCCTTAATTGCTATAGGGCTATTCAAATTATCTAGTTCATATTGGATTTTGTCTACTATGTCAAGTTTATATGTTGAATTCATGGTATTTCTTTTTCTCCTTTTCTGATATTGATAATTTGCCTTTTTTTCTGTTTGGAGTCACTCCCGGGCCCACATAGCTTCCTATCACAGGGCACATCTGAGTCCTACCGCCCTGTGTGCCCAAATCTGGGTGCCTGCATGTAACAGACCTCATGCTAGATGCCAGGTATAAGGATCCTCTCCCTTGTGAACCACAAACCCAGCCATCAGCCATGGGTAAATTCACCCATTTGGATCTAATGTCAGATCATTCGAATCTCTGACAAGATGTTTATAAATGTTTACAAGGAGTGTGCTGTGGGCCAGGCCTAGGCTCAATACTCCAAACTCAGTGCGCACACAGGGAGGCGGGACTCAAATGTGCACTGTGCTGAGGTCGGGGTGATAGGAAGCTATGTGGGCCCGGGAGTGACTCCCCATCACCACCCACAGCCTCCAAGCCTGCGGGATAATTTTCTGAAAGCACTCATACATTCAAGGAGGCACTGGTTCTTGGAAAACCAAGAGTCTGCACCAAATTGAATGGGAAAGTTGTGTGATAAGATTAGGTAATTTTGTCTCCTAGTCACATCTCCAAGGAGTGGTTACAATGCAGTGAGATGAAAGATAATCTTTGGAAGCCAAATTGAAACTAATATCTTAGTATTGATCATCACATTTAATATGCAGTCAGACTTCCCTCTCCTGGTTTCCTATATGTAGAACCTGCTTCATGGAAGGCTTGTCATCTGATTGTGCTCTTTGCCTCAAGCATCTCCTTTATAAATAATGCCATTCATTATACCACTTGTTAGGAAGTTTTATATATGGGTGTTCCGTTTTCTAATAATCCCTTCTTGTGTATTTCTGACTTACAGCAGATTCAAAGTGCCATCACAGGCACTCTCAGCCCCCAAGGAATTGTGGTGCCTGCATCCGCGCTGCAACAGGGGAATGTAACTATGGCAACAGTGGCAGGTATGGTGATGGAATAAAGGACACCTTTTCCTTAGCTTTTGCAGAAAAAGTCCTTCATAGTAGAATGGAGACTTGCATAAACATAATTTTAAATTAATGCCAGTTCCCTAATAGGAGTCCCATAATCTAGGCTTCTTGAATGCTTGTTTCTTGTTAATTCTCAGTCACAAATACTTTATGCAAATTGTTTCCCTATCAAAAAATGTTGGGAAGAAAGGTTTTGTATAGGAATTGAAACTTTATAGCAAAAACTAATTGTAATTCTCAAATAACTGTTTTTAAATGTGCTCTTAGCAGCACTTGAAAAATCTTATGTGTGTCATTAATTGATGACAAGCAAATAAAAATGCAGTCTTAGTCTTGATCTAATTTATATGATAAAAACCATCACAGGGGTCCCAGGTTCGATTCTGGTCAAGGGCACATGCCTGGGTTGTGGGCTCGATCCACAGTGGGAGGGAGTGCAGGAGGCAGCCCGTCAATGATTCTCGTCATTGATGTTTCTCTCTCCCTCTCCCTCTTCCTTCCTCTCTGAAATCAATATAGATATGTGTGATATATATATATATTTAAAATCATAATAGGAAGAGGACAGATTCTCCAGTTCCCTGTTGCACCTAGAATATTACAAATATAAGACCATCATGAAAATATAAGAAGGGGAAGCAATTTACACTAAAAACCCCAAGTAATAGCACAAAAGGAAACCTCCACAGCAAAATAAAGCACATTTGACCAAAAAAAGAAACATAATAAAAATACTTGTCATCTGAAACCTTTGGCCAAGTCCTTTGATACATTCTAATTGCGGGGAAAGTGGAAGACAGGGCCAAGCAAAAGGCAAGGAAGTGCAGACCCCTGACCCAGCCGTGCCCTGTGCACTGTCTGTGAGGACAGTAGGGATGCCCGTCAGCATAGTGTCACCTGGGCACTGCTTGTGCAGTGAGTTCACTTCGGTCATTCACAGTGACAAGTCAGCTAGCAAAGTATCAATCATTTGAAAGATGTAAAAAGCTCATCAAACTACAGATTTTATTCTTTTCATAGTACAGTGAGAAGATTGGTTTTAAACCATTGAGACATAAATTTAATTTTTCTTCTTCTTCCTTTTTGAGGTGGCACAGTTTATCAGCCTGTTACAGTTGTCACTCCTCAAGGCCAAGTAGTGACACAGGCGTTGTCACCTGGGACAATCAGGATTCAGAACTCCCAGGTGTGTGAGCCATCCCTATGGCGGGGAGGGGAGGATTGGGAGCGGGAGGAAGAGCTGCACATGTGGAAGTGCAGGTGGAGGCGGGCTGGAGCCATTCTCTCTGGGTGAAGATAATTTATCTCATACTCGCTCTCATGCAGCAGCCTCCAGTTAATCTGAATGTCAGTATTTTGTTTCTTTTTTACTCTTCAGATCTATCATTGTAAAAAAGTTGCAAAGTTCAGAAAAGTCTAAGGAAGCAGGAAAAAAATTATCTGTTATCTCTTCCCTTAAGCAACCACTGTAGTCCAGCTTAATGCTGGATTGTGTAGTTGTCTCTGCACCAGGAGATTTGAAGCTATGTGGACGTGCTCCTCCCTCTAGTCTCCAGGTCACAGCAGAACCGCAGGCAGGTTTTTGAGACCATGCCCAGCTGCCCACACCTCCAGCATGAGAGGATTGGCTGGGTTTGGGGCCTGTGTGTTCTGAAAAACTGTTCTTGGCCTTTCTGCTAAGCCAGAGCATGGCTTCAGGGTGTCTGGGGCACTTGCTCAATGCCCCCCACACCTTGGTGAGAAATCTGAAAGAGGGCTCCCCTTTTTCCTCTGTACACTGCCCACTGGGGGCGCTACTTCAAGAAGGCTGGTCTGCTGCTCCTTTCGTGGCCCACCAGCTCCCAGAGCACAGAGCACTTTTAGGGCAGAAGTAACAGCTGGAAATGCAGTGACATGCCAATACCTTGGGATGGTCCTACCTACCCTCTCTGTGTCTTTGGTAAGATGAGACTGAATTTGGTGGTTTTCCAGACCCTTCTAAGTTCTGGACACACACACACACACACACACACACACACACACACACTCACACACTAATACACTTTTACATTTAGCTGGGTTTAAATAAGAAAATGTTTCTGTTACCTGTTCTTACTTAAGAGCATTGATTCCCTCTTTATGTTAGGTGCTTGTCTTTGGCCTGTGCAGATATTGTCTATATTCTAAACCATTTTGAGGCCCCCTCTTGGGGATGTGGGTGTTTTTGAGGGGGCCTAGAGTGTGTGTGTGAGCCAGCACAGCTAGTCTGTAGTTCCTATCTTTAATTCATGGAAGGTTTCATTGTATAGTCATGCTGGGGCTAGTCATGGCTGAGTGGTTGTGAGGCTTCAAGAGATAGGTGACTTCCCAGTAAGCAGAGGGGTGAGGGTGAGAGAGGAGCTAGGCCTACCCACCTTGGCACTGGGCATCCTGTAGTTTTCCACTTACAATAGCTGTAAGCATAGAGCAGAGCCTGGTTTGAGTGTTGGCCTAGTATTAAAGTGAACTGTTCTTGCTCTGGCCAGCATGGCTCCATTGGTTGGGCATTATCCCTTGCACTGAAAGGTTGCCAATTCGATTCCTGGTGAAGATAGTTTGTGGACTTGATCCCCAGTTGGAGGGGTGGGGGTCTGCAGGAGGCAACCTATCAATGTTTTGTTCTAGCATCCATGTTTCTCTTCCTCTCTCTAAAAATCAGTAAAAATGTTTTGTTTTGTTTTAAAGTGAGCTATTCTTAGAGGAAAACTTTTAAAAATCAAATACCTCACTTATATACTAGAGGTTCATTTGACCTGCTGTTTGAGAAGGAAGTTTCCTAATTAATTGAATTTTCTTACAGACAAAAATTTTTACTTTTAATAGCAAACATAACAAGTTTGGATTATTTCAATAGAACACCTTGTCATGTTCAATGTGATATCACTCCCCAGATCCCTTTGGCAGATCCCCAGTGAGGTACCTTCCTGCTTCTGCCTGGGTGCTGCCCCTGCTCTGGTCCACAGTGGCCACGGTGCCCCACTGTGCCCTTGTCCTTACCTGTCCTGTCCTCCCTGTTATTGCTCCCAATGTGGCCGGCAGGAAAGCCAGAGAAAAGAGCTGCTCAAGTTCCTAACAGAAGAATAGACCTGATAGAGGTCTTGGTGGGATGTTCTTTGAATAAAACCTGCATGTTGATTCTGTTAGGCTGCTCTGGGCTATTTTTTCCTCCTTTTTGGCCAAGGTTTGGGCTCTTGTGCTTTAAATCATTAGATTGGGCAATTTACCAGCAAGTGCTTCTGTGTTGTGTCAGAAAATCTCAGGGTTGGTTTGTCTAGAGAATTGGTATTATCACAACTCCTGTTGTTACTCTGGTGGTGGCATTAACCAGTTGGAGCTCAGCAGCACAGCAGTGTGGTGGCAGCCCTGGATGTGCCTGTGCCATCCTATCCCTCCCCTCCAGGACAGGTCCCTGCCCACTGTGGGAAAGGATTGTGGGCACATGGCAGAAGGCGGAGTGAGAATTTAGCCCAGCATCACTCAGCTCCATGGAAAGAATCAGCACTGGTGGGGAAGTGGTCAGGGTTCGGATCCTCACTTCCTACTGCATTCCTAGGAAAAGGTATTTTATTATACTTCTAATACAAACCATTTAAAAACATTTTTTGAGAGGAGTAGAGAAACCAAGATGGCAGCACAGGTAAACACCTAAATTGCTGCCTCACACAACAATTTCAAAACTACAACTAAAAGACAAAACTGACATCATCCAGAAACACAGGAAGGCTGGCTGAGTGGGAATTCTACACCTAGAAGGAAAGAGAAAAGCACACTGAGACTCACAGGAGCTGCAGAAGGCAGAAGTATGGAGGCACGCACGTGGAGCGGGCTGGAAACTGAGTATGCAGCTGGCTCTCTCAATCAGAAGGAAGACAAAAGATCCCAAATGCTCTGAATTCCAGTTCCGGTGAGACTCTGGGATCGCAGATTCATTCAAGGAGACACTGGACTGTCTGGCAGCAGGCGAAACTCGATGGCAGCATTCTCTCAGAAGTGCTTGCAGCGATTACTGTGAGAGATTAAGACAGGTGGGCCTTTAGGGCAGGACTGACAGGAAGCCATTGCTGTTGGCCCCGTCCCGAGAATCTGCCCCATCCAAGCCGAGTGCAGAGGCTCTTGCAAGTCTTAATCTCATAAGGTGTCTCTAGCACAGAAATTCTCCCACTGCAGACACAACTGATCCTCACAGCCAATTGGCCTGGAGCTCAATTCCTCTCAGTAATACCAACAGCAATCAAGGCTTAACTACAATAAGACTATGCACACAGCCCACAAAGGGGTGCACCAACCACTCTTAAGGTGCACTTACCACCTCAGGTAATTGGGGAGGTTGAGCCACTGGGACCAATAGGTCACCTAGCACCCAAAGCCACTTTATCAATACAGGGAAGCAGCCAAAATACAGAGACAGAGAAACAGGTCACAAATGAAAGAAATGGAGGAAAGCAAATGACTGGATATAGAGTTTAAAACCACGGTTATAAGGTTATTCAAGAATCTTCTAGAAAAGGCGGAGAAATTTAGTAAGACCCTCAAGGATATGAAAAAGGACCAACTAGAAATTAAGCATACACTAACTGAAATAAAGAATAATATACAGAGATCCAACAGCAGACTAGAGGATCCCAAGAATCAAGTCAAAGATTTGAAATACAAAGAAACAAAAAAATACCCAACTGGAAAAGGAAAAAGAAAAAAGGATCCAAAAATATGAAGATAGTGTAAGGAGCCTCTGGGACAACTTCCAGCATACCAACATCCGAATTATGGGGAGACCTAGATACTGAAAACCTATTTGAAGATATAATGACAAAAAACGTCTCCCACATGGTGAAAGAAATAGATTTACAGAAAGTGCACAGAACCCCAAGCAAAAGGAATCCAAAGAGGACCACACCAAGACACATCATAATTAAAATGCCAAGAGCTAAAGACAAAGAATATTAAAAGCAGCAAGAGAAAAACAGTTACCTACAAGGGAGCACTCATACAATTGTCAGCTGATTTCTCAACAAAAACTATGGAGGCCAGAAGGGAATGGCAAGAAATATTCAAAGTGATGAATAGCAAGAACCTACAACCAAGATTAACCAGCAAAGCTAGCAATCAGAATTGAAGGTCAGATAAAGAGCTCCACAGATAAGAAAAAGCTAAAGGAGTTCATCACCAAACCAGTATGATATGAAATGCTGAAGGATATTCTTTAAGAAGAGAAAAAAGAAGAAAAAGATGAAGATAAAAATTATGAACAGTAGAGTGACAAAAAATACATTTCTATCAACAAGTGAATCTAAAAATCGAGTGAATAAAAAATCTGACATATAATAGAATCAGAGTGGACTAACAATTCTCGGGGGGAAGTTGGTAGGTGTAGGGGGTTGGAAGAGATTGGACAAAAATTGTACACCTATGGATGAGGACAGTGGGGGGCATGGTAAGGGCAGAGTGTGGGGTGGGTACTGAGTGGAGGGGAGTAATCTGAACAATAAAGATTTATTAAAAGCATTTTTTGAGAAAAGGAGAAGTAACCAAGAGGTGAGATTTTGTTGATGTTTCTCCTTTTCCCCTCCCCTTTGCCTAGCAGTCTTATTTCTACTACCATAGTCAAGTTGCCATGTCATAGGTCAGTGTCCAGTGTGCTGAAATTTCTGAATTAAAGCACGAGAAGCAGCAGACCTAGTAAGCCGTGCAGTTGACTCTTGAACAGCCTGGGTTTATACTTATGCGCAGGCGTATAGGAGGACCTGCACAGTTCAAACCGCGTTGTTCAAGGGTCCCGGGCAATCTGTTTTCTTCCCTGGTGCCCGCAGTGACCACTGTGACACCATCTCTGCAGGCAGCTGAGAGAGAGAGGCTGAGCCTGGGAAACATGCCTGGCCTGAGCAGGACCTGGTAATATCGTTTTTTCTCAGGTTTGCAGGAGACATTCATCTAAGAACTGTCGGGTGCACACTTTCCTGTTGAAATGCAATGACCGGAAATGCTGTATACTTTCCTCAGGGGTGGGGGAAGCTGTGTTCCCAGAGGCTGGGGAGGCCCTCCTGAGGAGGCCTTCACCACAGCCGTTGCTTTGTGATCTCTGTTGCACTTTGTGTGTTGCTGTTTACTTCCCTGTCCAATCTCAGTGGTTGCTTTAAATCTTGGATGTTATCACATCCATTCCTGGAAGAAGCAAGATGAGAACAGGTGTTGCATGAGAGACACAGGGCTCACCTGTCTGCAGGTGAACAACTCAGGGGCCTTCTCAGCATCCATCCCATCTGCCTCACCAGACGAGGGGCCGCTGCATAGCTAAGGCACTAGTGTAAATAGTTGTAAGACAGAGGGAACCAAAGCCCGAACAGGGTTCCAGTGTATGTGCCTCTATTGTGAGTCCCATATCTCTAAGATCCTTGGGTATTTTCTGCATCAGAAGTGGTGAGATACTTGGGAGTGACATAATTTTCTCTGCTCTCTAACGCTATCTTTCCATGTTTAAAAGCTTCAGTTACAGTTAAACCAAGATTTGAGCATCTTGCATCAAGATGATGGCTCATCCAAGAACAAGAGGGGCGTTCTGCCAAAGCATGCCACCAGTGTGATGCGATCCTGGCTCTTTCAGCACATAGGGGTAAGACCACGGACCTCGCGGATGGTGACATCCTCCCCCCGGACTGCTTTCCGGCTTGTTTTCTAGGAAAAAGTTGCCTGTACATGCTAGGAGGCCTGGTTTTTAATATCTGTATTTTGTTAACGGTCCATGTGGGTTGAGTGTGGAACAGAAGGGAGAGTTACCAAAAAATGGAGCACATCACTTCAAGAAACTAACATAAATGAGGGTGAAAAGAGAATCAGTTCAGCTCATACTAGTCTTATGCGTGTTAGAGAAGCTACTCGTGAAGGGTGACAGGGTTTAATTAGAGAATGGGTAGAGAAAAGATGCATTTGGGCAAAACCTTGGTATAGAGCAATGATTTCTATGTTGGATTGTTTTTTAAAATATATTTTATTGATTTTGTACAGAGAGGAAGGGAGAGAGATAGAGAGTTAGAAACATCGATGAGAGAGAGTCATCGATCAGTTGCCTCTTGCACACCCCCTACTGGGGATAAGCCTGCAACCAAGGTACATGCCCTTGACCAGAATAGAACCCTGGTCCCTTCAGTCCCCAAGCCAACACTCTACCACTGAGCCAAACCGGTTTCGGCTCTATGTTGGATTTTTAAGGGAGATGCACTAAGAAACCCCAAGATAGAGCTGGCTAGTTGAGCATATGCAGAGTGGTCAGCAGGTGGCTTGTTGAACTTGAGATACAGTTGGGCCAGCAGGCAGCACCCACCCATCCCATCTGTCTGAGCCCTGGCTTCTGTGAAGACGCCTTGTCTTAGGAAGCACACACCATGGGTTTAATGGGACAAGCTCACTCATTACTAGATTGAGCCTCAGTCCTCACACCACCGACCTCAGGGAAGGCCAGAGACCCAGACAGCTTTCAGAAATGACTCCCAGTGTAGTGGCCAGAGTCAGACTGACCAGGACAGTTGTCAGGAGCAGGTGGGAACAGAGGAAGTAGATGCTCTTCCCTGCTGAGCCATAGCCGTGTTCAGGCAGGAGAAGAGCCAGCAAGGGTGCTGGGTGGACAGAAGGAAAGGAGGCCTGCCCAGCAGCCTCATGAAGAAGCTTTCAGGCCAGGTACTTCCATCCGCAGTCAGTTCTTTCGGAGTACAGTGGCCGCCTGCTCCTTGAGCCGCCCTGGCCCCAGGTCGTCCCTAAGAGCTGGGCTGGCCCCGGGATCTGCCTCTCCACTTCACCGCAGTTGTCACCTGCTCCTGTCTTCAGCTGATGGCCACTTCCTCACTTTCCCATCTTTGTCGCTGTCCTGGTGCTATTGCTGTCAGTGGTGGTGTCTTACAGGCCCGCATCTCCTCATGCCCTTCCTCTTCCTTCACCCTGTCGCAGGCCTGAGGGTCCTTGGCACCTGTCTCCATTTTCACTCCGATTGTGAGCCCCAAGACCAACACCCAGCTCTCAGTCATCACTTTCCCCCCTGGGTTTGTCCCTTGTCACTGTTTCGTGCCTCCCTTTTTTTGGGCTCCATCCCCGAATACCAGGAGCCTGATAGCTGTGATGTCATTGAACAGTCCTGGAAGACAGGGAGATCCCTCCTTTTCCTGAGGGGAAACGTTGAAGGATCTGAGGCTGCCCCTCTGTGAGCACCAGGCTCCAGCTTCTCCTCCTCCGGTGTCCGCTCTCTGTCAGGCTATTGCCACCAGCAGGACATGCAACTGGTGTCAGGGGAAGGAACAGAGTGACCATGTCTAGAAATATGTCCTAAAAAATGCACAAGAAAATTAAATATTTTTACATTTTATCTGAAAAAGAATAGACATTTTAAAATATATTGTGATTTTTATAACCAATAAATATAACTGATTGGCTTTCCTGTTAAGCTTCTTTTAATAATTTCTAAAACAATAACCCTGCTCAGATATTCAGTTAAAATGCCACATTTTTCCTCCTATGAAGTATTTTCTATCTCTGCTTGCCTGCCTTTTTTTTTTTTTTTTTTTTTTTAATATTGTGCTATCCTTATAGTTTTTCTAGTACTCCAGGACAGCATTTACCACTGGTGTTTGTTTTCTGGTTTGTACGCTTTTAAAAAATGTTTTTAAAAATTCATTTCAAAGAGGAAGAGAGAGGGAGTGATAGAAGCATCAGTGATGAGAGAGAATCATTGATCTGCTGCCTCCTGCACACCCCCACTGAGGATCGAGCCCACAATCCAAGTATGTGCCTTGACCAGGAATTAAACTAGGACCTCCTGGTTCATAGGTCAAGGCTCAACCACTAAGCCACACCATCTGGGTTAGTTTATGCACTTTGGTTTCTGTCCCTTTATTTTATGAGCTTTTTAAAGGGCAAGAGCAATACTTATGTTTTCATGACATCTCCCTCGGGGCCATATGCTCATCTATAGAATCAAATTGAGTTGCTGCCAGTTGAATGGAAGAAACAGGTAGACTGCTGCTGAGATCACTCTGATGCTGATCCATTATCTTGGTCATGCACAGTGACTTTTCCAACAGACTGAGTGTTGTTCACTTAAAATAAAAACGGGCCGGGACTGGTTTGGCTCAGTGGATAGAGTGTCGGCCTGAGGACTGAAAGGTCCAGGTTTGATTCCAGTCAAGGGCATGTACCGTGGTTGCGGGCACATCCCCAATGTTTCTAACTCTCTATCCCTGTCCCTTCCTCTCTATAAGAAATCAATAAAATGTCATCTCTGAGCCTCAGGCTGATGAATCTGACCAGCATGAGCCCCAACCAGCTGCCATTCCTGGGCAGCCAGGAGAAACACTTCATTCTGCTTGGATGTTTCTAAAAAAAAACAACAAAAAAAAAACAACTGTGAGACTAAAGTGTTAAACTGAAAGCAGTATTGATTGGTACTTGTCAGTTTATAAATGATTATTTGTATGCCTGGATTTTACCTAGGAAATCCTGAGTTCCTTTTTAAAAATTGAAGTTCATAGTGACCCTTTTTTTTCTTTTTTTTTTTTTTTTAGCATCCCTACCCAACAGAAGATGAGAAAAAACAGATTGCTGCTCAGACAAATTTGACACTACTCCAAGTTAACAACTGGTAAGACACGCCCACTTTCCAAAACTGTGCCTGTAAACATCATAGAACACTTGGAAACACTGATACTAATATCTAGTAAAATTTGGTTGAAAATAGTTATTTTATTGTTTGTTTTTTTTTTACAGAGAGGAAGGGAGAGAGATAGAGAGTTAGAAACATCGATGAGAGAGAATCATTGATCAGCTGCCTCTTGCATACCCCCTACTGGGGATGTGCCCACAACCAAGGTACATGCCCTTAACGGAATTGAACCTGGGACCTTTCAGTCCTCAGGCCAACACTCTATCCACTGAGCCAAACTGGTTTCGGCTGAAAATAGTTCTTTTAACTAGCAATACTCTGTTTTCAGAGTGCTGGAATTAGTGGTAGATACTTAAGAATAAATCAGCACACACTTTTTTTTTTAATCTATTGATTTGAGAGGGAGAGAAACAGACATTGATTTGTTGTTCTACTTATTTATGCAGTCATTGGTTGCTTCTTGTATGAGCCCTGATGAGTGATTGAACTCTCAACCTGGGTGTATTGGGATGGCGCTCTAACCACTGACCTACCTGACCAGGGCTCAGCACACACTTTCAACTTACATTTTTCATGATCAACATTTCATTGTGGGCTTTTTGCTTATATCCTGCTTGCCCAATTAAAAATGTGTTTCTCTATTGCATTACTACTCCCAAGCCCCCGAATTCATTCAGAAATCTGATGTTTTCCTGGCTAAGCTTCCAGGTAGTGGATAGCCGAGATGAGGTATCCTGACCTCTGGTGGCCTCTCTGCAGCTCTCCCCCTTTTGAAACTTGTGTTGTGTCCCTTTGGGGAGGCAGTCTCACTGTTTGTGTGGTCCTGCCCCACAGCAGCACCTGGAGTGGGGGAGGTGCCCAGAATGGTGATTGTTAATGAGTCATTCTGCTCTGGTGTTTGTGTCACATGTGACTCGGGATACCTGGACCATGACCACGTGTGTTCCCTTCAGTCAGAACTGTTCACGTTACTAAGTGGCACTAAGGTCTAGGAGACACTTAGATCTTGTCAGTCACTCATCTCATGTTTATTATTATTCAGACATAAGAAGTGATTTCAGCTTAATAAAATTCACATGCATAAAAGAAATGACGTCCTAGCTGGTATGGTTCAGTGGATAGAGTGTTGGCCTGCAGACTGAAGGGTCCCAGGTTCGATTCTGGTCAAGGGCACATGCCCAGTTGCAGACTCAATCCCCAGTAGAGGTCATGCAGAAGGCAGCCAATCAGTGATTCTCTCTCATCATTGATGTTTTTCTATCTCTCTCTCCCCTTCTTCTCTGAAATCAATAAAAATATATTTTAAAAAAATTTTTTAAAAAAAGAAATGGCATAAATTCTACCACTTGTAGTCCTAGTTGGTTTGGCTCAGTGGATAGAGTGTTGGCCTGCAGACCCAAGGGTCCCAGATTTGATTCTGGTCAAGGGCATGCACCTTGGTTGTGGGCACATACCCAGTAGGGAGTGTGCAGGAGGTGGCTGATCTCTCTCATTGATGTTTCTAACTTTCTATTCCTCTCCCTTTCTCTCTGTAAAAAATTAATAAAATATATTTTTTAAAAATTCTACCACTTGTAAACATGATTATATTCTTAATTTATTAAAACTTAAACTTGAAGGTCATTTAAGTACTAATGTAAATGATAAAATCTAGTTTATGTAATTAAATATTCAGGAGGTATGCTTTAGCATTGCATTAAATATTTAATTATCCTGCACTTGAGCCATTATTTGTTATCTGGGTAGCAACAGTAGGCCATATTGTTAATTCTTTTCAATAGAGTGCTGACAAAACTCTGCAGGTTTCAAATACATTGTTTTGTGGTGTTTGTAATGTTTGTATGTGCCCTGTTGTTTTTGTGCAGGCTTGTGTTGAAACTTCCTATTGTGATAGTGATTGGTTGATTGAGGTGAATGTTAGACACAAAGTATAACATGACTTTTGTAAATCTAAATTTTCTAAAGCCTTTTAGTTAATACCATAATTATAGCTACTTTTTCTCTGGTGACTTCTTTCCTTTTTTTTAGTCACAAAAATTAAACACACTCATGATTAGTTTATGCCTCATAGCAACTTTGAATAAGAATAAGGAAGCGGATACTGGAAGGGAACAGCAGGGTTCCACCCAAGGTGCCACTGGAGTCAGGGACTGCAGGGCTGTCGGGTGGTCTCCTTGTGCTAAAGAGACTGAAGACTGACCCTGACTCTGCAGTCAGTCTGTTTGTTTTTATTAGAATGTGTTCAAAGGCAATTTTACATGTTCTTAAACCTTAGGATTTTTAAGTTAAGTAACCTTTGCCCGGCCAGTATGGCTCAGTAATTGCGCGTTGACCTATGAACCAGGAGGCCACAGTTTGATTCCCTGTCAGGGCACATGCGTAGGTGCGGCTGGATCCCCAGTAAGGGGGGGGGGGGGGAGCATGCAGGAGGCAGCTGCTCGATGATTCTTTCATCATTGATGTTTCTCTCGCTCTCTCCCTGCCTCTCTCGGAAGTCAATGAAAACATTTTTTAAAGGGGATACCATGGAGGAGTTGGTCTTTATTTAAATGAATTATCTTAAAAACAGCATGCCCTGTTTTTCTGGACACTTAGATAATATGTGTGCCACTATTCTAAATGCCTGTGGTCGTAGGGAATATGAGTTACTCTGATGGTTTTGTGTGATTTATAAAGCAGCTTGCTTACTGGAAGGACTTTGTTGCTCCTGCAGGGGTCTTTAAAAGGCTGGTTTGATGACAGTGCTTCCTTTGTCGACCTCAATGCTCAGGTTCATCAATGCTAGAAGACGAATTCTTCAGCCGATGTTGGATTCCAGTTGTTCAGAAACTCCAAAAACAAAGAAGAAAACTGCGCAGAACAGACCGGTGCAGAGGTTTTGGCCGGACTCCATCGCATCCGGAGCCTCACAGCCACCGCCTAGTGAGCTCGCCATGCCGGAAGGTACGGGGTACCGCAGGGTGTGAACCCTAAGCGCTGTGGCCTCCTGTGAGTTACGGGAACAGGAGCCAAGGCGTGTGCATTGTCTGTTCCTGCATCTGGAACTCAGGGAGCATCATCCTGGGGCCTGTGTGTAAGACGCTCACAGCACATATGAAAATGACCCACACCAAGACCCAGCGTCCACGGGGCATTGTGTCCTGTGTCCTTCTTTTTCCTCCCGTTCACTCGTCACCCCTGGCACTTCGCCCTCTTTGTTTACCCTGTTAGTCCCCTCAGCTCTGTGACCCGTCACAATCTCTCTGATGTGTTTAATGCACATCCTTCTGTCTAATATACGTGTATTTTTAAATGTATATTGATGGTGTTATCTTTTCATTCTCCATCTTACTTTTTTTCACTCAGCAGCAAAACTCCTATTAAGGTAGGAAAGTTTGGGCCATTATTTCTTAAAATACATTTTTCCCCCCGCACCTCCTGTTAAGTGGTTAAAGGTCACATAGTCTTTCAAGTTTTGGATTCTTTTCTCTGCCTCATGTGGATTGTTTCTGCTCCTACCCATCAGCTGTACCAATCTCTTTCTTCTGCTATGTTTAATTCCTCTCATCCCATCCAGTGTGCTTTTTGTAGTTTTCATCTCTAGAAGTTCTGTCTGAGTCTTTCTGTCTCTCATGGGTCTGCCTACGCTGTGAATCATACAGTCACAATCTGCTCGATTCCATCCTCTGTCAGTTCCGGGTCTTGCTTTTGTGATTGGTTTTTGTTCCCAGCAGTGCTCAGCCCCAGGCTGATCACCCACTACAATCATGCAAGACCTAGGAGTGTTCCCCCAGTGTCCCATGCAGTGGGTGTGTCTGCTCGGCTAGAGAGTGCTCTGTGATCTCAGATGTCCTTACCCGGCCCCAGGTCCGTCCTCTGCCCCGTGCTCACGGCGCGCACTCCCCGCCCTGCTGGCCTGGGCTGGGACCACCCTCACAGTGGGCTGTAAGTCAGGCTTACTTGGTTTCCACTGAGCTCCTCTTGAGTTGTAGTGATGCTCTTACACCTTTGGCTTCCTATATGGGTTTTGCAATTAGTGATCCTACATCCACACTCAAGTAATTGCTATTTTCAGTTCTTATTTTCTCTCTTAATCCAGTAATTAGGAGGGCATTTCCCCCTCTCCCTCTCCTCCTCCAAAAGAAAAGGCAGGATCTGTCTACTGGGGACACATTCAAATAAGAATGTCCTGTGAAATAGTATGTACCCATATAATACCTTAATCAAAAAAATGAGGGGGGGGATATCCTGTGAAATAGTATGTACACACATAATACCTTAATTAAAGAAATGAGGGGGAGATATCCTGTGAAATAAATCTTCCCTCTATCTAGTCCTCTCAGGAAACAATCCTTGTTTTCAGTTTCCTGTATGTGCTCCCATTGCATTTGTGATAAGGTATTCTGTGCACAGACACGAATGCGTGAACCTCTTTCCCCAAATTTAACATACACAGTGATGTCTCTTGCTTTCGCCACTTATTAATATAAAGGATATTAATACACTGGAGACTTTACAGGTGAGCACGTGAGATCACTGTAGTTTCCAATCAGGCAGGGATTAGCACTCCCTTCCAAACTGGTCTCCTCACCCTAACCTTCGCATCTTTTGTCTTCCCATTCATGTCTCTGCGGGCCTTTCTCCTGCCTTCTCCGGTCTCCTGTTCTCCGTGTGGCACTATTTCCACCCTGACCCCTGAGACCTTCAGCAAGGCCAGAGGCCAATTCTAGAGTTTCTTAACCCCCTGCTGAGCATCCCAGGCACACGGGTCTTCATGAGAGGCCACATGAGCACAGGCACCCAGTTGGCTAGCAGTGTTTTCCTCCACTGGGCACTAATTGGAATAGTGACCACCACTGTTTGCGATTTGCCACAGGAGCTGTTGTGACGATCACCACGCCCGTGAGCATGAACGTGGACAGCCTCCAGTCCCTGTCCTCAGACGGCGCCACCCTGGCCGTGCAGCAGGTCATGATGGCGGAGCAGAGTGAGGACGAGTCCGTGGACAGCCCCGGGGCTGGCGGGGCCGCGCTCACCCCAACCCACATCAGCGGGCTGGTTCTGGAGAACAGCGACTCCCTGCAGTAGGCCACGGCCAGGACCCAGGGCGCCGGGACCCCGGGCGGCGCCAGGACCCAGGGCAGCGGGCCTGGCTTTTTATAGTTTGCACAGCAAACATTTTACACAGTTTTATTTCTGATCTGTTTTATATGTAGATATAGAAGAGTGCACTTTTGTATTTCATAGCAAGCTCAAGGGCGTCTGTGCTGGTGCAGCGACTTCTTTCCAGTGAGTGCGCGCGTGCGTGTGGTCTTCAAGGACATTCTTTAAAGGTTTAACGCTAAGTACGTGACAAATGATAAACCCCTATGAGCCCCTAAGTAGATTAAGGAACTTTTTTTAAAAAAAAATTATGCAGTTTTAGTGCGTTCTGTGGTTAAAGCAGGTCCCCGTGGGCTGGCTCCTTTGTGTAGCCCACAGGTTTGAAAGAAGCTTCTGCACCTTAAGACCGCCAGTGCGAGGTGGACAGGACACGGCGTAGACTGGTGTGGCTCTGGTGAATGTATGGCAATTCCAGTACCTTTACGTTCTCTCATAGTCAGTGAGCCTGTTTCGTTTGCTATATATAAAAAGAAACTCCTATTTTTACCTTGCTGGAATTATTGGATAAAAAGCTATTTTTATAAATTCGTTATGAATTGGATTATGACTATATTAAGGATAAAATTTCTAGAGAAGAAATCATATGTGCTAACTTTCAATTTGGAGTGTTATGAATTGACCAAATTTAATGAACCTGCCCCAATATAGTTAGGGTAGTCATTTACATTTACTACTACAAAAGAAACAGCTATTTAATGAAATTTTGATATGTAGTCAAATTTTCGTTTACATGTAAATGCTCAGATTTCATTTTCCACTTAATCTAAACATATATCTAAAGGTATTTGCTAAGTAGGACTTAGTTAAACGAAATGGTAGCCAGCAATTAGTTCTCACCATACATATTTCAATCTAATTTAAATTTGACTACAGTTAAATGGAGACTATCCCATGTTAGCTGTGTGCTGGTTTAGAATTTTTTAGGCAGCCATATGTTATACATAGAATGTTTATTATAAACGAATATAAAATGCCCTCTGCCCCCCTGGCTCAGAGCGAGGGTAAAGCAAACCATTCAGCTTCGTTTCATAGTCAGCAGACACCCACGAAGTGAGCAGGAACGTGCTGACAAGCAGTGCACGCTCTGCGATTGGCCACACACGTTACCCTTGGTCCTGGGCCGAGGTTTCCCCCTTGTATGTGTTACTCTGGAATTTCCAGAGATTTGGAATAATGTTAGGACTTCCATTTCCTGGTGACAAGATGAATCAAAATTGTAGACCAGGTTTTTTGTTTATTTTGGTGGTTTTCATTTGCCCGCTTGCCATTGGGGTTTTTTCTCAGAGAGAAAACAGGGCGCCTTGTGTTAGAGAGCAGGTCTGTATGGACTCCCAGAGTGCATGACACCCAGAGTGCAGTGTGTCCCCAAGGAGGCTCTCATGTCGGGAAGGTCGTTAGTTCTTGAGACTCAGCAGCAGTAACTGGTTATGGACCAGGATTACTTTGAATGGTGTTCAGAGCTAGTGCAGATTATTTTCTGGGACTGACTTTTCCTTAAAAATTAAAGTTAATCATAGGAAAGTACTTCCTAGGTAACCTAGAAGGCAGAAAGAAACAATAGGAATTTTTTTTAAAGTATTTCAGCAGCTTTAAAAAGAAAAGCTTGACTGTCAGCTCTTTGGGGAGAGCATACTATTTTAAAGTAACTTGCATTTCTTATTTATAAAGTTTTTAATATTTTAAGTCTACATAACTTTCAAAGATCATTTTAGCTTTACTTATATCCTAACTTTGCTGGGCTTCTCAAAATGAGGATCCGTGGAAGCCAGCCCTTTCCACCATCCCCTCCCCATCCCCCTTCCCCTTTGTCCCTCTGGGTCACCCTGCTCTCTGGTTTAGGAAAAACATTCAGAGAATGGAGGCTCCTTACAGGTCATTGTTTCTCTCCCCACCAGAAACCATGGCCACTGTGGCAGCAGATGGTTCCCGAGGGCTGCACACACCGGGTCAGTTTGGATGCGGCATGTCAGGGTTCGAATCGGCCTGAATTCAGCTTATGTGCCCAACGACAGGGCGTGGGCCTCTGCAGCTGAAGGGGCGTCTTAGCCCTAAGCTCTTGTCACTGCCTTCAGGGGCTAGGGCAAAGGTCATTTAGAGAGAGGGCAGGCATGGACAGGCACAGCCTGAGGTTTTATTAACATCTTCCCCATTTAACCATCTGCGTGGCTGTTTGGTCATAAAATGACTGCCCGGTGCCCTGGTTGTCATTTTCCACCTTATCAACACCCGTTTTCCAGACATTGGAGAGAACCTGTGAAAGTACCTCTTAAAATTCACTGTAACAAACAGATCCTTTGTTGTCCAGTTCTTTCCTTAGGAAGGATGCTTTTGAATGTTTTGAGATCCCAGGTAAGCATGTTGTCCCTGCTGCTCAGCTGTTGAGCAGATAGCTGGCCAGCTTTGCTGCACCCAGACAACTCCAGCTGATGGACTAACCCAGCTTCCAGCCTTCGGTTCCAGATGGCAAGTTACGTTTCAGCACTTACTCCATATGCGAAGGAATCGGTTCTGTGTCACCCCTCGGGTGACTCGACTCTGACCTGTGTGAAAAGTGCTAAGGCACTTTTTTTTTTTTCAAACTTAGACATACCTGGAAGGTGTGACAGGCCCGTTTTTGGCAGTTAGTGACAGAAATGACTCAGCAATCTTCCTTTGTTTTAGTTATGTTTGGTCTATGAATGACAATCTTTAAAACGTGAATACTGTAACTATGTTTTCTTGGATTGTTGTCTTGAAAAGGGATTTTTGTGAAGCAATTGATTTATCAAAGCAAAAAAATTAAAAATGGAAACACTTTATGGATGTTTTCTTTTTAGAAAATATATTTTTATTGATTTCAGAGAAGGGAGAGGGAGATAGAAACATCAATGATGAGAGAGAATCATTGCCTGACTGCCTCCTGCATGCCCCCTACTGGGGATTGAATCTGCAACCTGGACATGTGCCCTGATCAGAAATTGAACTCTGACCACCTGGTTCATAGGTCAACACTCAACCATTGAGCCACACTGGCTGGGCTGGATGTTTCATTTTCTAAAGCCCAAGTCACTGCAAACTCCTTTTACACTTTAAGTAATACATTCAAGTTGTTGACATGTTTTGCTGGTGACATTTGGTTTGTGGTGACTCCTGCACATTTTAAAAATTAGGATTACCCCACACTGGAGCCATTTATTTTTAAGAATCTTCTATTACTTTAGTTAGTCATTGATATCATAAATCTGATTATTTCAGTAGTAATGAGAGGGTTATGATGGATGAGTAAGGTTTTGCCTCTCATAAACTACAGGCCCAGGCAGAACCTTTCAGAACGGTTTTAACTCCCCAGAGCTGTGTGCCAGAGGCTAAGGTGAGTCAGCAGATGTGAAGCACTCTTTAACAAGTGCAGCTAAACTTCCCATCTCGCTGGGGATTAGCACTCAGTGATGAAGGATAGTGTTGCAGGAAGGGTTCTGAGAGATTTGACAGAAAAGGGAGTAAGTCACTGTGCTGTCACTCCAACTCCTCCTCATCAGAGGTGAGAGAGTGCATGTGAAACTTACCCAGGTAGGCCCAGCCCTGACCATCCCCTTCAGGCTTCCTGCTTCATTTGTAAAAGGGAAGGGACTGGTTTATACTATAAGGTTCATTCTAGGTCAAACGTGCTGTTTATGATAAAATCCTATCTTGAAAGAGAAGGGTTAATAAGTAATGATCTAGCAAATCCTGAAAGTAAGAAATGTATTTGGATTTTCTATTTGAGCCCATAAAAGCCAAAAATGGGGAGAGACACTATCCCAGCAGGTTCGAAAGGAGCATTTTAATTAGGTTGATGACTTTAGTTGCTTACTTTTTTTTAGCAAATGGCTAGTAGATAAAATGAGGCATATTTTAAAAATATTTTGCTCTGTGTTACTAGTAACTCCATTTTTTTCTGATATTATTTCAACATAGCAATCCATGTCACAAGTCGTGAAGCCCTTGGTGGTTAATGTTCTGGGTGTTAGTGTAGCTCTGAGTTTGCAGACTAGAGTGTGTCAGAGGACAGGCAGGGGCTGGAGGAGACACGGCTGAATGGAGCAAGGAAGCAGAGAGAGCAGTTCCTGGGGGAAGCTGACCTGTGGACTCATAAGAGCACACAGTGAGCCCGATGCTGGTTCTGGATCCAGTCACTATCGCCCCACTTGGCTGCTGGGTGAAGGGAAGGCATTTCAGAGTCTGGGAGCAGGCTGCTCACAGCCCACCGCCAGTCAGGCACCTGCTTCACGCAGGGGGCAGTGCCATCCTCGGCGTGAACAGGCAGCAGGAGGCTCTGCATGCCTACTTAACTCATTTATCGTCCACCCCAGCAGGGGCCGCAGAAACGCCCAGTCATGTCTGAGGGGCTCCTCGTCAGCCAGGGAGGCAGTCCCGGGAGGATGGGCCAGATTGTTTTGGACTGAATCACAGAAGCAGATTGAACCATGAAAGTTATATACTGTTCTGTTATTAAAATGCTTAAGAAATGACTCACTGCAAACCAGAGTTCCTGAGTGTTCCAGGGCCTGACTTAAATGCCCACTCAGTGTGCTGCTCAGTCTGGGCAGCGTGCTGTCTCAGGTAGGTCACATGGGATCTTGTGCTGCTGTTCTTGGCAGACTGGCCCAGCAAGCCTCTCTTTTCAAGCAAACAGCACAGGAACCCCAGCGCTCTCCACCGAGCCCCAGCACTGGCTCCCTGCCTAGGAGGCTCAGGGAGCCGGAGGCCTGGTAGGCTGCATATCCAGGCCCCACCCAGAGGACGCTTCAGTCCACTCAGGCCCCGCCCAGGCAGCGGTGAGTCCACACCTGCCCCAGCCGTCACAGCTGTGTGGAGGGCATGAGGCCACAGTAATGAGGAAGGGGTGGCTGCCAAGTAGATCAACAGTGACCCCAACTCTGGGCAGCTTGCTGTCTCAGGTAGGTTACAATGGGATGTCGCTGTGCCATTGGGGCTTCAAGATCCCAGCAGGAGCGTAAGGAAAGCAGTGCCTGGCCACCCCACTCCCACGGCTGGGACTCTGCATGGATAGCCTGTTTGTTTTGCTCCTCAAAGCACCACTCCTGGGCCCTTTCAGTCACAACCTGTGGCTGCCGGGCCTGCCACAATCTCTCCCTGATGGAGACAGTTTTCTCTCCTGTGTTGTACTTTCTCACCTTGTTGAGGTGCATCTGCCAGTGCCTTCCTAAGCAAGAAGGCCGCTTGCCTCGGTGACACCTAACGCCTCTCTGTTGTTAGGAGGAATGTGCTTGCCTCAAGAATCTGGCCGCCATCCCTTCTCCTTCCTGATGTTTTTAGAAGCTGCTCCCTTGCCTCCCAGCCTCCATGTGCTGGAGATGCGCAAGTCTGATGCCTTTCTCTTTCTGAGATTTTCTGTTTGAACCAGGTTTCCCCATCTCTGGAAGCTTTAGTTGGATCTTCTTGTCCCAAGTGATGTTTACCATGTTCCCCATGTGGTTTCTCTCAATCTGTGGAATCATGTCTTTTAGTCTGGGACAATTTCTTAACCCTTTGCACTCCGAACCATTCTGGACATTGGCTACCAGCTACTCGACGCTACTTTGTGAAACATGCGTTGAATTAACTCAATTCCCCATAATCACTAATAAACTGCAATGTCCCCTGAGAGAGGACAGCGGAGTGCAAAGGGTTAAATTATTGCCTTCTGTTTTCTTTTTTCCTTTCTGGAGCTATTACTCGTAAGATATTAGAATCCAAGAAGTTCAAAGAATTTCAAGCACAAGAAACATGAAGAAAAGTACATCATGATGTCTAAAACAATATTGAAAATGAACAAAGCTGGAGCACACACACTTCCTGATTTTAAGACACACTGAAAAGCCACAATAATGAAAACAGTGTGGTTCCAGCATACGGATAAATGTATAGACCAATGAAATAGAATTGAGTCCATAAGTAAATCCATACATCTATGGCCAACTGATTGCCAGCAAGTGTGCTGAGACCAGTCAATGGGGAAAGAATGTCTCTTCAACAAATGGACATCAACATAAAAGGATGACACTGGACAACTTCACACCAGGTATAAAAATTAACTCATAATGAGCTGACTCTGAGCTAAAAATATAGTTCTTAGAACTCCAACAATAAAAGACAATTTAAAGATGGGCAAAGAACTTGACTAGGCATTTCTCTCCAGAGATGAATATATATATATATATATATATATATATATATATATATATATATATATGAAAGGAAGCCTGATATCACTGGCAGTTAGAGAAAGGCAAATCAAGACCATGAGATGCCATGTCACACCCACTACCACGGCAATAAAAAAATAAAAATAAAAAAGGAAATTAAGTATTGGCAAGGAAAAACTAGAACCTCATGTATTGTGGTGGAACATAAAATGGTACAACTACTATGGGATATAGTTTGGCTGGTCTTTAAAGAACCACAGAATTACACTACCCGGCAAGTGCAGTCCTGGGTATCTACAGGCAGGGGCTAGAGGAGATTATTGAAAATATAATATAAATTATTGAAAATAGTTATTCAGCCGAAACCGGTTTGGTTCAGTGGATAGAGCATCGGCCTGCAGACTGAAAGGTCCCGGGTTCGATTCCGGTCAAGGGCATGTACTTTGGTTGCGGGCACATCCCCAGTAGGGGGTGTGCAAGAGGCAGCTGATTGATGATTCTCATCGATGTTTCTAGCTCTCTATCCCTCTCTCTTCCTGTGAAAAATCAATAAAAAATATATTTAAAAAAAAAGAAAAAGAAAATAGTTGTTCAAACCAACACTCATACATGACTGTTTATAGCAGCATAATTCACAATAGCCAGAGAGGGGGAATAACCTGAGTGTCCATCGATGATAAACGGGTAAACAAAATGTGGCATATCCACACAGTGAAATATTCAGCCATAAAATGAATAAAATACTGACACCTACTGCAAAATGAACCTTGAAAACATGTTAAGTGAAATAAGCCAGACACAAAAGGCCAGATTGTACGATCCATTTATCTGAAACATCCCAAACAGGTAAACCACATGGAGACACAGCAGATTAGTTGCCAGGCCGGGGGGGGGGGGGGGGGGGGAGAATGGCTGCTTCTGGGGGTGATGAAAGTGCTCTGAACCTGGCAGAGGGGGACGTAATAAATGCCACTGAAATTGTACATTTAAAATTTGTTCATTTTTAGGTATGTGGATTTCACCTCAATTAAAAACCCAGATACTCAAGCCACTGGAACCAGCCCATTCCCACACTGACAGCGCTGCTGTGTGCGGGTCACTGCATGATCCTTACTTCCTGAGCCCCTTCTGCTGCTCCCCATCTGGATTCTCCTCAGGAAAAGGCACTCCCTTCTGCTTCCAGTCCACTCAGCCCCCATCATGCACGGGTTCATCCACCTGGCTGAGTTCCCTTTTAATAAGATTTCCTTGTGGAAACATTTTTTCAAGAGAAAGTTAAAAAGAAAAGCACATTTTAATAAACCATAGATTCGTCCAAGTGTCAGTGTTAATACAAGGGAAACTTAACATTTACCCTGCCCTTGGGCTAAGAACCCTAAACCTGCTCATTGCTGCCCGTAGCCCTGGGCAGTGCCCAGCACCGGGCAGTTAAAAGGCACACAGGCTTGTTGTTCAGTGTGTGGGAGCCAAAGAGCAGGCGGCCTGTGCAGGGTCAGGGCTGGACGACTCTGGAATCCAAGGCACTGGCTGACTTTGTCTTCTGGTCCCGCTCCCGGGCAGCCACGAAGTTCAGCAGGTCAATGGCGGTGACGACCCCGAACACCATCTGCCTCTTGCTGGACTTCTCAGGGCTGTGATCTGAGGAGGGAATTAGGCGGTAGGTTAAAGCATCTCCACAAGGAGCTGCCCTATTCCCAGACACTCAGAGGCTCCACCAGAGTGTGGCCCTGGGGACCGGCCCTGAGCCTGCCCAGGGCCTACAGGCTCAGTGTATTGTGGGAACCTGGTCAGCATCCGCGGAGGCCCACCAACACGCCTTCCGCTCACAGGAGCCATCTGGGCGAAGCTGCAGAGAGCAAGGTGCTAACCTCGCCAAGCCGTGCCCACTGGCCACACGCCTGTGGGCTGTCTGGGTGCCAAATGTTCAAGTCTTGCATGAAACTCCAGCACCAAGCACACCCACAAGCTACATCAGTTCACACCTCTGGCCTGTGATTATCTTCAAATCCATGCTTTTCTCTGGGGCTTAAGGGGAACGCTGGCCTTGGGCCCGCTAAGAGCAGTGAGGATTGTTGAGGTGGTTCGACTTGACTGGCCCGTGGAATGCCCAGATTTGGTCAGACGCTATCGTGGGTGTTTCTAGATGAGGTCATCATTTGAATCGCTAGGCTGAGCAAAGCAGGTTGCCCTCTGGTGTGAGTGGCGGGCCTCATCTAACGAGCTGAAGACCCGAGTAGGGAAAAAAGGCTCCCATGTCAGAGGGGACCTTTCCAGCCTTTGGACTTGAACCGAAACATTGGCTTCTCCTGGGTTTCGAGTCTGCCCACTACCTCTGCAGGTCATGGGACTCGCCGAACTAGTCATGTGAGCCAGACCTGGTAACAAATCTACATACACACATCCCACTGGCTCTGTTTCTCTGGAGACCCTTGTCATCACGAAGCACCGAGAGCCCGGTGGAGCTGAGGTGTGGGTGAGAAGCACCCAGGTCACATTTCTATCCCGCCAGACCCCAGCCCAGCAACTTGACATCTGCCCCTAGGCTGAGGTGCAGCGAGACAGAGGAGCCAGACACCCTGCTGGCCTATTCAAGCACATCAAGAAAAAACACGGGGAGCAGAGAGACCAGCTCCCACATTTCAGGGACTTGGAGGCAAAGTGGCATTTGGAGAAGTGTGTCCCCTGCAGGGGAGGGTGGTCTGTGCAGCCTCTGCAGCCTGGCCCTCCAGAACCTCGGAGCCTCATGCACAGCGACGCTGGCCACCTCTGTCAAGGCTCAGAGCCTGTTACGACCCTGCAGTTCCACCAACAGCACGGAGGCCGCAGTGGACACGGTACCGGGCACGCTGTGCCCCAGGACATTCCTATAGGGACCCTGAAATCGGGACTCGTTCTGGGGTGTGTTTACACACGAGTAAACGTGAGGTGAGGGAGAACCCTCCCAACCCAAGCTTTGGGGTCTGGTACCCCGGACAGCGGGCGTACATACCTGCAGGCCCCCCCACCACTCCTGCCAACGCCTGGTCCCGCGCTGTGGAGCCAAGGACGGGAGAGGGTTAGGCTTGGCCACCCAGGCCCCCAGGCGGCCCTCAGCTGGGTGGGGGGCGGGCTCCAGGGCACTCCCAATTCCGATTACAACCCTTCCCCTTGTGGGCACCCACAGAGGGGCTCCTCTAGGAACTGTGCCCAAGGCTGAGGAGGATTGCAGGTCACCACCACTGATTCCAAAAGCACAGGCGGCCGCCCGGCCCCCAGCCCCACTTACACTGGATCTGCTCGTGCACCACCAGGGCGAAGTGGTCTGTCTCCAGGATGCGCGAGAGCATGCCCAGCGGGTCAGTCAGGCGGATCTGGAAGAGAGGAGCAGTCAGCGCCCACTGGGCAGCCCAGGCAGGCCCTCGGCGGAGAGGAGCACGATGGAACCTCAACTGTTTGGACAGCATGCTCTCCCGGGGTCTCTCCTTGTTACAGGGACCGGGGAGAGGGATGGGGAGGGGCCTGCAGGACCACATGACAAGTGACGGCATTGGGAATGAAATGGCACGGATTCCAGTGACATGCCAGCTCTGTGTGTGTGTGTGTGTGTGTGTGAGTGTGTGTGTGTGTGTGTGTGTGAGTGTGTGTGTGTGTGTGTGTGTGTGTGAGTGTGTGTGTGTGTGAGTGTGTGTGTGTGTGAGTGTGTGTGTGTGTGTGTGAAAGTGTGAGTGTGTGTGTGTGTGTGTGTGTGTAGTGTGGGGAGGGGAAAGGAAGGTCAAATTATCTCCTAGGTTTGGGCTCAATCTTAGTCACACTCACGGGGAGGCTGGAGAAGGCAGGTGTGAAATGGGGACCAGGGAGAGGGGGCACCCCAATGGCACTGCCCTCTGGGCCACAGAGAGCAGGGGCCAGTCGGACTGCCCAAGCCTGTCAGAAGGTGGCCAACATTGTCTGAGAAGCGGGCTTCTCCCAGGACCTTCTATTAAATCACTGTGTGCCAGGTGTTCTTAAACGAAAGCTTCTCGGGGGGGAAATGAGGGCCCGATTTTAAGAAACCGACCCCCAGGCGTGGCCAGAATACAGCGGGCGGGCGCAAGCCCTCACGAATGGGCCTTTCCCCACCGGCTTCCCTGCAAAGCTGGGCCGAACTCTCAGATGTATAGGTTCAAGGAGGGCAGCCAGCACTGGCCCCGCTGGCACGGGAGCGGTGCAGAGGGTCGGGGACCTGGCCGCTCACCCAGGAAGCGCTGTGCCCGCCCCCAAGGACAGACGCGGAGCCCATACCTGCTTGAACTGCTTGTAGATGACTTTGTGAACTTGGTCTGATGGCTGCACCTTCCCAGCAAGCAGGCTGGACAGCATGTTCCCCAGAGTCACCATCCCCAGGATCACTCTGAGGGGTGTGGAGGGAGGGTCAGTGCAGGGCCCTCTCTGAGACAGCAGGGCCTGCCCACAGCCATCCTCCCTCCGCGCCAGAATGTGGAATCCCTCTTAAAGTTCAACAGATACCTATGAGTGCCCACACGTGGCAGGAAGACAGTGATCAGATGCCCTGCCCTGGACCTGCCCGTCCAGGGGCAGACAGTAAGCCATGACTCCTTTGGGTATTTCCATCTGACAAGTGTCAGTCATGGGACCATGTCTCCTCCCGGGCTCAGGGCAGTCAGTGGGTGGGACACGGATTAGCACGGCCACCCCCACCCAGCCAGCGCTCAGGAACATGGCCATGGACATCCCTATGCGGGGACTGAGGTCAGCCAGACGCCCTGTCCTGGATGTGGCTGAGACTGACCCCGATTCATCGACCACGGGCACCTGGTCGAAGCCCTTCTCCCGGAGGATCTCGATGGTGTGCTTGCAGGTGACCGTGGGCAGCACCGTCAGCGGAGTGGACAGGCTCAGCTCCTGGACTTGGAGGTGCCACCACCTGAGGGGAGAGGGCAGGGCGGGGAGGGCTGAGGGCCGGCAGGTGGGAGTCAAGGACAAACATCACGCAGGGAGAGCGGGGATGACCAGCCAGGCGTGGGACAGGCACAGGCACCCGGGTCCCAGGGACCTCGTCCGCAGCCCCTGTGGCTCTGGGGGTGCCTGCTCAGAGGTGTCCTCACCAGGGCTTCTTCACCGTGAGGCCCTCCTCCTTCAGGAAGCCCTTCTGCAGCATCCACCTGTCACTCAGGAACTTGGACCTGCAGGAGACGGGAGGTCAGCAGGGCCTGGCGGAGGGTCTCACCACCGTCTCTGCCCACACCAGGGGGCACAGTTCCCACAGAAACCCAGGACCCCTCCCAGACCCCACCGGTCCAGGGGCTCCCCACGTGGCTGGCTGGAGCTCCAGGAAGAGGCCTGGGAACCAGACTGTAGAGAGCCCGTGGGAATTTGATGTCCGGGGGCATCTGGTCTACTAGCAGAGGTTCTGTTCTGGAACCTTTGCCGTCGGCCCCCTCCTCCCAGCCCTCCTCACTTCTGCTTCGCCAGAGGGAGCAGGGGAGCCTGATCCACTTGGGTCAAAGCCTCCAGACCAGGCGTTGGGGGCTGCCAGGGACCTGCTCTAAAAAGGTGGACTGAAAGGCGAGGGGGGCTGCAAAGGGGAGGGGCAGCCATATACACTCAGTGGCCAGATTATTATGACTCTGGAAGCAGGTGTGATATAATAAAAAGCTGATATGTAAATTCTCCCCTCAACCAGCAGGCAGTCTGGCCAATCACCCATGTCCCCTCCCACTGGCGAGGCTGGTCGGACCCCACCCATGCACAAATTCATGCACTGGGCCTTTAACACAAACACACACACACACACACACACACACACTCTGAGTGGCCAGATTATCATGCGTTCAGAGATCATCATAATCCGGCCACTCAGTGCACATGGTGACGGGAGATGATTTGACTTTGGGGGGTGGACACACAATGCAACATACAAACCATGCACCATAGAAATGTGCACCTGAGGCCTATATGATCCTATTAACCATCGCCACCCCAACGAGTTTAAAGAAATAAAGCGACATGTTGCATCCTCCAATGGGCCAGAAGGCAAGAAGGAGAATGCAGCAGAGATGATGCTCTACTCCGAGTGGAAGAGAATAAAAATAAATTAATTAATAAATACAAAGGTGGCCCAGGACCCACGCAGTGGGGAGCAGATGACCTTGGCAGCTGTGGTGGCGGCCTGGCTGGGAGGGGGGTGCAGACCTTGCAGGGCCCCTGACCCCACCCCGAACCCCTGCTGTCAGATCTCAGGGGAGATCCAGTGGCGTCACCACAGCATCCCCAAGGCGGTGCCGGGCAGGGCCAGGCCTGCAGCGGGAGGAGGGCGGAGGCTGCTTACATGTAGTTGCGGACAGAGTCGGGCAGAATCACCACGCAGCGCTGGCCCTCCCGCAGCTCCTGGGCCGCCTTCACCGCCACCGACATGGCGCTGCCCGAGCTGCCACCTGCCGAGACCCAGCCCAGGGTCAGAGGGAGGCGAGCCGGCAGGAGCCTGTCCCATCTCCTCGCCACACCCTCCAGCCTCTCCCAGCACCCGCCCCGCTTGGAACCCCCATTGATGGGGAGTTCCCCCCACCCCCACCCCCACCCACCCAAGGACAAGGCTGGTCTTGATTGAAAAAGCCAGGTGTCCTGACATTCTGGCCCCAAAACATATACTCCAATCACAGTGCTCCTCTCAGCAGCCACCCCTGCCCTCACTGGTGACTGTGGGAGAGCGAAGGCAACAGCTGCTTCCTCTTCCCATCAAGCTCTGGGCTCCCGGCCTCCCCAGGCCCTTTCAGGCCCCCGTGCCATGCCTCATGCTCCGGCGGTTACACACAGGAGACAGCATGCGGCTGCAGGGGCCCACGGCCCCAGGACACTGACCCAGACCTCTGCCGCACTGTAAGGGCACTCCTACCGGCCTGTGGGGTGACCGCCGATCGGAGGACAGGCCGGCTGTCCCCCTAGGGGTCAGGGTGGACGGACGGCACGGGGAAAGCCGCCATGCAGTCCAGGATGGGGAGCCTTTACAACCTGGCCCGGAAGCCGGCAGAAGGCAAGCGCCCCCGTGCCTCTGCGCCCCGGCCGCCGCCCCGCCCGCCACTCACCGCACAGCAGTCCCTCCTGCGCAATCAGCATGCGGGCAAAGGCAAAGGACTCCTCGTCGTTGCACTTGAACCACTTGTCCACCACCTGCGGGCAGGACCAGACTGCCGGCTCCGGGGGTCGCTCGGGCGGGGGTGCCGCTGGGGTGGGGGGCCCCCAGCTGTGCTCACAACCTCATGGCTGCCCTCCGTCCGGGAACTGCGACCCTTAACGGGCACGGCCCGGGCCCTGCTCCGGGGTCTGAGACTCGCGTCTCCAAACCTGGAACCTCCTACCTCTCCCTGGTCCAACACACGTGCATGCGGCTATTCAACTGCCCGCCGGCTCCCTTGGCCCGGCCGTGTGTCCAGTGGCTGGACTCTCCATCCCTCAGAACGAAGCCCCCTGGTGGGTCCTTCAGAGTCTGTTCTGGGGTCCTTACCTCTTAGGTTTCCCTGCTCAACCGCCAGAGCTCCCGCCTCTGCAGGGGCCTGGTCTATGGGCACGGCCAGGGCTGAACTCTGGGAGTCTGCCCCGTGGCTGCATGTCGCTACCTGGATACGGTGCAGCATGCCGCCTGGTCCTGACCTGAGGTTCCACCCTTTCGCTCCCTGCTTGTACAGGGTCATGTCTCTCCTCCTGCCCCACAGGAAAGCCAGCCGGGCGCCGGGGGTCAGCCAGCCACGCGGACATGCAAGCTGGTCAAAGAGCGAGCCCTGAGGAGGGGACACGAACACCAGCCCCACCTACCGTCCGGTCCAGCACCGTGGGGATGAAGTCGTAGCCGATCCCTTCCACCTCGTAGGCCGTCAGCTCCGTCCGGTTCAGCTCCTCGGGCTCAGCGAGGATGGAGCCTTCGGGATCCACCCCAATGATCTACAGGGGGAGACCGTTAGGGCTCCTGCCATCATCGGGGGCAAAGACCACCCCCGATGGGCACCTGTTAACGACCTGCCCGGGGATGCAGGTCTTGTCCCCGGCTCCAGGGTGATTAAAACTCAGGGGCAGCTGGGGGAAGTGGTTCCGGGCAGTTCCCCGCACAGAACGTCCCAGGGCAGCCTGGCACACGCCCGGGGGGGCAGTGGGGCCTGGAGAACAAGGAGCAGTGCTGGGCGCTGACCTCGTTCTGGGCAGAGAGAGGAAGTGGGCTCAGCACCACCTGCCACATATTTCTAGGAGCCCCACCCCAGGCCCCTCAACTCCAAACCCGGGGCCCTCCCTCTCAGAGCCCCAGACGGGGCACATGCAGGGCCTGAACCTAAAAGCTTCAAGATTCACAGTGACCCTTGGGCGCCACCCAAATGGACTCCCATCCCACCCCCATTTGGTCGCCGGGTTCCTCGCTCCCGGCAGAGCCCACAACCCCCTGGCGGCCCGGGCACTCACTTTGCACCCAGGGCACTTCTCCTTCAGCTTCCTGGCGATGCCTGTGATGGTGCCTCCGGTGCCCGCCGAAGCCACCAGCATGTCCAGCTTCCCTGAAGGAAGAACATTCTAATACGTGAAAACTCACTCAACCAAGATGAAGGCAGGTCGTCAAAAAGGTCAAACTTCAATTCCCACGGGCTCTCCTCACAGCCCTTTGTCCTTAAGAACCATTCCCTGGGCCTCGGGCCGCGAGCTTCAGTTAAGTCTCGGCACGGACTCTATTTGGGGAAGGCCCGGCAGGAAGGACAGATGCAGAGACTGCCTGTGGGGTCGGGGCCCAGGGAGGCTCCTCATGCGTTTTTTCTTTTTTTAAAAAAAAATATCCTTTTATTGATTTCAGAGAGGAAGAGAGAGGGAGAGGGTGGCGAGCCGGCACGGCCATGGCACACTCAGCCCCACGCTGGGCGCCTAGTGTGCCGCGCCAGCTCAGCCAGGTTCGGTGAGCCTGAGCGGGGGCAGGCGGTGAAGGATGGAGAAAAGACAGGCAAGAGAATGAAAGCTGGGGCCGGGTGGACGCTGCCCTCTCTGATGGAAAGCTGGCGACAGCGCCCGGACCTCAAGCCGTGTCTTTATTTTATAGCCGGTGCCAGGAGGCAAAGTAAGGGCGAGGTCAGGATGTTTACCACATTCTCGTGGGTTTCGAATCCACTCAATTACATGCACCTGAACTCTATCAAGCCCACAGCACTCAGGCACGTGGGGCCATAGGGTCAGGCTCACAACTCCAGCTGTTGGCTATCCTTGTGCTGGGGGGGCTCTGACCCCCACGCTGGGACTTGCACGTGGCCACGAGAGGACTGTGCCCTCTCATTAGGCTGAGGCGTGAACCTGTCCGAACACTGTAGTTGCTTGAGAATCACTAATCAGCTGCCTCCTGCATGCCCCACGCTGATGATCAGCCCCCAACCCTGGCATGTGCCCTGATCGGGAACCGAACAGAGATCTGGTTCACAGGTCGACGCTCAACCACTGAGGCCCCCAGCCAGGCACGATGCATCTCCTTGTGCTGTTTGCTTTTGGACGATGACAGAAAGGGAACTAAAGTACGCAGGAACCAGAATAAATCACCCGGGCTTGGTTCGGAAATCATCTGGGCTCTCTCGCTGCCGAGCGCCAGCCCAGGCATCCTGCAGACAAGTCCGCGCGGGCCCCGTACCGAGGCGGAGGGCTGTTTTTGCCAAATGAGAGAATTCTCACACATAAAACTCTGGGGAGCCAATGCCTGGATCCCACCACCTGGCAGAATCCCCTCCTCTCTCCTAGGGAAACAGCCCTCCAGGAGCCATCACAGCCCCGCGGACGGGCCTCGGCACCGGTTACATGGAAATGTGCCAGGGAGCCTCAGGTCTGTATAGAGAGTGAGCCAATCATGGCATTACCACCGAAGCTGGGAGACAGAACACCTGAACGTGGAATCCAAGGCCCAAGTCGGGGCTTGATGCGTAGTGCCCTTCAGCCACGTGAAGCCCCAGCTGTGAGCCCAGCAAGGACACCCTCACTGCCTGCACCCGGGAGCTTCTGCAGCCGGCACACAAACAAGACTGCCTGCTGTTGCGCAAGAGAGCACAACAGAAGCAGAAACCGCTCCAGAGAGATGCTCTGGGTAGCACTTCAGAGGGGGGATATTTGATCTGGGTTTTGAAGGATGCATAGGAGTTTGCCAAAGAGTGGGTAGGTGACCCGGACACCCCCAGACAACCAGGGAGAGCGGCGGGGAGGGCGGGGCGGGGCGGGGCGGGAGAGGTGCACACACCATCGCACTGCTCCAGGATCTCCTCGGCCGTGCTGTCGTAGTGAGCCACGGGGTTGTTGATGTTGCGGTACTGCAGGAGAGAGCAGAGGGGCTGTGAGAGGCAGGCACACACGGCCACGGCAGCAGGCACAGGGCAGCGGGCAGTTTTAGGAGCCTCGGCAGACACAAACATTAAGCTCCGCTCTGCAGATGCGAATTTCTGAGTCAATAACCCGGGAGCGAAATGAGTGTGACAGAAGTGTGTCCAGGGAAAAGGCGTCCTCAGCCAAAGGCACGCCCACCCAGAACCATGACCCGAGGCCTGGCCGCAGGCTGGAGGCTCCCGAGCTGGGAGATGCCTGGGGCACGTGCCACCACCTTCCGGCTCTCGGCCTCTCAGCAGCCCCATTCCTGCTGCCAAGGCGGCACCCCCCCCCCCCGACACCCCCGGAGCCCCCGGGCCCCTCCGAACGCAGCCCCCGGCCCCGCCTCACCTGGTCCAGGATGTGAGAATTGGGGATCTCGTTCTTCAGACGCCACGCCACCCCCACGTGCGACTCGGGGGAGTCGAACCTGGCGTTGGTGGGCGTCCTCACGATCTCGGCGCCCAGGGCCCGCAGGACGTCTACCTGCGGGCGACACGGAGCTCGGCCCGCGCCCGGCCTCCGGGCTGGGGGGTCCCGGGCGGCCGGCCCGCCCTCCTACCTTCTCCATGCTCATCTTCTCGGGCATCACGATGATGCAGCGGTAGCCCTTCACCGCCGCCGCCAGGGCCAGCCCGATGCCTGGGGAGCACAGGGTGAGCCGCCGCCCGGCACCTGCAGCTGGTCTGGGTGCGAGACCAGCCGAGGGCCCCGGAGCGGGCACTGCAGGGTTCCCAGCCCCGCACTGCCCGCTGTCCGCAGGGGGGGGGAATGCGGAGACAAGTGACAGGGCCTGTGCTCGCAGGGGAGGCAGGCCAGGGGCAAACACAAGCTCAATTCCTCCAGCTGCTGCTGGTGCCACGGCTCAGTGCGGGTGCCCAGCTCAGTGCGGGTGCCAGGCTCAGTGTGGGTGCCCGGCTCGGTGTGGGTGCCCGGCTCGGTGCGGGTGCCCGGCTCGGTGCGGGTGCCCACGGCTCGATGCGGGTGCCTGGCTCGGTGTGGGTGCCCGGCTCGATGCGGGTGCCTGGCTCGGTGTGGGTGCCGAGGACCATAGCAGGAAGGGCAAACACTGTGGGCTGTGGGTGGGCACCCGGTCCTTCTAGGAAAGGGAGGATGGCCCCGGAGGCAGGCAGAGCCCAGCAGGGCGGCCTCCCTGGTCACAAAGGGGTCGGACCGCCGTCCAGAGGGCAGGGGTTCGAGCTGAAGAGGATCCTGTGGAGTCGTAAGACCCAGCGGAATTTGCCCGCCTGGGCTTCAGACTCGCCGGGGACCAAGCACCCCTCCTCTGTCTGTCCCTCCCTTTGCGACAGGGGAGTCCGTCCTGTGCTTTGGAATCCCGTGACCCGCTGGCTTCACAGGCTCTCAGCTGGGGGAACCGGCCGGAGGACGCTCCCCCACCCTGACGGGGTGAGACTGGGCCTGAAGAGAAGAGGCTGGAGGAGCGGACTTGTGGGGCCGCTGGGGGGATCTGCATGTGAGAAGGCATGGATCCGGGGGCCAGGCGGCCGAGCTATGGGCTGACCTGTATCCTCCGAAATCCTACACTGAAGTCCACCCCCATCACCTCAGAAAGCAACTGTGCTTGGGGTGGTCTTAGAAGAGGGGGGAAGGTTAAGTGAGGTCACGCAGGACAGGTGTCCCCGGAGTGAGAGGAGGACACGGACACGTGGGGAGCAGGGAGGCAGCGCCCACAGCCCAGGAGAGGCCTCGGGCGGAACCAGCCTGCGAACCCCTGGCCTGGCCCCACCTCCGGGACGGGGAGGGGGCCGGCGAGCTGGCTAAGCCGCCCTCGGGGGTTTCTGCAATGGCAGCGGAGGGATCTAAGGCAGATTTCCACTCTTGGGGGTAGTGGCTGAGGTGAGCATCTGACATCACCAACGCAGGCCTGGCTGCAGATGGCGGAGGAGGCGGCACAGCCCGCAGCTGCTGGCGTGCACTCTGCCGAGCGAACCGCGGGAAGAGCCGCCGGCCAGGCCCGCAGCAGCCGCGGGTCCCCCCCCCCGGGGTCCCCCCATCCCGGGGTCCCCCCACCCGGGCCCCCCGCCCGGGCCGCGCCTGCCAGCGCCCACCTGTGTTCCCGGACGTGGGCTCGATGATGGTGTCGCCGGGCTTCAGCAGGCCGGCGCGCTCCGCCTCCTCCACCATGCGCTGGCTGATGCGGTCCTTCACGCTCCCGCCCGCGTTGAAGAACTCACACTTGGCCACTGGGCGCCGGAGACGGGTCTGAGGCAGGACGGCCCCGGCCCCCTCCGTCCCCTCCCCCACTCCGATCCACCCGGAGGCAGGGCCAGGCCTGGTCCCCGCGGGTCTGTACACCGGCCCCCTCCACGCCCCCCAACACCCAGCTGGCAGGGCCCTGCAGAGACCACGTGGCAGCTCCCAGGGAAGGAGACAGGCGCCCCCAGGAGCCCCCACCGGGGGGACGGGTCAGACCCCCCCCCAGTCCCAACAGGAGCTCGCGGGCGAACAGCCGTCGGCTCGCTTGAGCCTCCTGCACCCGTAAGGCCCAGCCAAACCCAGTGGCCCCTGCCAGGCAACTTGATTCACCAAAGTCCCTGCACCCCGATCACACCCTGGGCCAGGCCCCCCAAACCCTCCACATCCAGCCTCCCACTGCCCAGGCTCTCTACTCTCTGCCACTCGCCCTGCCCAGCTGTCCTTCCCTGGGCCCAGGCCTTCGCTTTGCTCTTTCCTCAGCACGACTTCCCCCACCTCCTCAAAGTTCGTAGTGTTTGCAAGAGGAAATGCTGCCCGGGCCAGCCTACGACACCCCCCCCCTCCCCAGCCCCAGCCCCCAGGCCCGCAGGCCGAGCGCAGGACGGGGAAGCAGGTACTCACGGAGCTCACACTTCAGGCCAAAGTTCTTCCCGATCTTATTGATCCTCACCATGGGGGTATCTCCAATTTTCTTCAGGATATTTGGCAAGATTTTGGGTGATTTTGCCCTAAAACAGAAGAGCCCATGATTATTCAGAAAAACAAAATGATACCAGCCCTGGGAGGTCGTACATTCTTTTAAGTCAAAGAACTGCCCTGGCCAGTGGCTCATCTATCAAAGGTTGCCGATTGGGCCCAGCTGGTGGGGGTGTGGCGCAGAGGCTGGCCATCAAACTGTGAGCCCGGAGGTCATGGTTCGATTCCCAGTCAGGGCATATGCCTGGGCTACGGGCTAACCCCCAGCGAGGGGCATGCAAGAGGCAGCCGATCAATGATTCTCTCTCACTGATGTTTCTCTCTCTCTCTCTCCCGCTTCCTTCCTCTCTGAAAACAATTTTTTAAATTATACGTATTTTTTAAAAGGTTGTGGGTTCAATCCCCAGGGGCCCCGAGACTAGTAAAACTGCTGCCTTCCACGCAGACAAGCTGGCATCCGGCTGCTCCCTGCACTGTGGAAGGAGCTGGAAGGGACAGCCAGGCCAGATGCAGGTGCCAGGCGAGGGGGGAGCTAGGCTGGGGGCAAAGGGCTCCTGACCCCACTCTGGAGGCCAGGTTCTTGGGGCCACGCGGGGTTGGCTCATTAACTAGTTAAAGCCAAGGCCGGACGGAGGTAAACACCGGAACCGTCACGTGGCGGTGGCGAAGGTCACAGCAGCCCGGCCAGGGTTGGGGTGGCCAGAGCGGGCTGTGGCCACCCACCGCTAGGCCGGGGGGGTGGGGGGGCAGGCAGAGAACCCGGGTCACCTTGCCTGCGGCCATGGGTCACATTCTCGGTGCCAGCCCGAGGCCTCCAGGACAACCCCACTGGTTCTTAGAACCCCCGTCCCCCATACACACACACTCCTTACCAGGGCCAGGGCCCTGCCTCCCCACCCCCTGAGGCCCCTCCACTCACTTGTCTGCTTCCACTCTGGCCCTCGTCGTAAACCCACCCCACCTCGGAACCCCCTGGAACCCCTTTCCCAGAAACCCACACGTCGGCACCTTCTGCCTGTGCAGTACCAGCTCCAGGGCCTTCCCCTGGCCAGGCCACCTGTCTCCCAATCAGGAACCCCAAGGGGCTGTTTCTCTCGGGGACCTTGGTCTGGTGTCCCCCCTGGCAGGTAAGCTCCCGCCTGACCTGGGCTCAGGCCCAGCTCCCTTCTAACCGGTACCTGACCCAGGACAGGGGCACAGGGCTCAGCTTCCAGCGGGATTAGCCCTTAGGGCTTTCGGGAGGGGTGACTAGACCAGGAAGTGAGAGGAAGGTGTCATGCTGTCACGCAACCTGGAGAGAAGAGTTTCCTTCCGCCCCAGGACTCAGAGGGAGGTCCCCCCCCTCGGGACCCGGCCTGCCTGCCTGCCCCCAGCGGCCACACCCCACCGTCACCCAGGGCTTCGTTTGTTCTGGCACCGAGGGCTCATCCTGGTTGGCCAGTGGCCCATTGGCCTCCTAAGCACCCAGCGCTGAGATATGCTCAGCGCTTGAGGTTCTGGGTTTGTAAATTTCCATTCCTATTTATTGGCCGCACAGAGGGGTACTCCCCTTTCTCCACCCCCAGTTCTGACCTTAAAATCAATAACCAGGAATGCTGGTAACGCAGGTTATACGGAATAAGAACCAAATATCTAAACCCAGCTGGCAGGGCGCAATGGTTGGGCATCGACCTATGAACCAGGAGGTCACGGTTCAATGTGGGCTCAATCCCCAGTGTGGGGCATGCAGGAGGCAGCCTATCAATGATTCTCTCTCATCATTGATGTTTCCCTCTCTCTCTCTCTCTCCCTTTCTTTTTGAAATGAATAAAAAAATATATAAAAACAAAACACACAAAAGCAAAAAAAAAAAAAAAAAAGAAGAAGAATCAAACATCTAAAAAACATAATCTTTGACTCCGAAAGATTATACAAGGGAAATAAAGATGATTATCTAAAACAGGGAGCTGATGTTGGTCTGCGGACTGAGGGGTCCCGGGTTCGATTCCAGGCATGTACAGTGGTTGCCTCGGTGGGAGGTGTGCGGGGGCAGCTGGTCGATGTTTCTCTCTCATCGACATTTCTGGCTCTCTATCTCTCTCCCTTCCTCCTCTCTGTAAAATATCAATAAAATATATTTTTTTTAAAAAATAAAAAATACAAAAATAAAAATAAAAATAAAATAAATAAAACAGGGAGCTCAATTTAAGTTTCCCAGTGGGCCGGGGCCTTGTCTTTTTTTCCTTTGGCCGGATAGATCTCCTGCACCTACAACAGGCACAGCACACAGTAGGAGCTTCATAAAGATGGGCTGAGAACTTGAATGAATATGGTTTCTATTGTAGTTGTTCGGAACAAGATAATGGCTACTTCTACCCACTGGAAGGCTTAAAAAATTGTGGTTAATTCACCCAACAGTCTCTGTCCAACCACAGAAAGAGGTCACTATGGAAAAGTAGGGATGGTCCGGAGCAAAGTTTACGACTTAGAGTTCAGCAGGAGGTGTGGTGTGAACCTAATGCTGAAAACGCACTCACCTCAGACCCCGTGTGAGCGGCCGCCCTGCCAGGGAGCCTCACTCCGCGCCCCCTCACTGTGCCACGTGGGCGCTCAGCATCTACCGTGCTGGGCACCAACCCGGGGGGCTGGCTGCGGTGCCAAGCCCTGGCCTGAGCCGTGTTGGACAGCACCCCCACCCAGCAGCTCAGCGATGGCAAGGGGGCTGGGTCACACCCCAAGTCCGCGTGGCTCCGCCCTCCAGGCCGGGGCAGGGACTTACAAGGCCGTGTGGTGATGTGGAGACTCCGAGATGGGCCTGCCCAGCTTCCAGGAGCACCTGCTCGGGGTATCGGGCCGGATCCACTGGTGGTCCTTGGGGTCCTTGTCCCCTGCGGTCCCCTGCTCCAGGCTCCTTTTTCCTGAGTGTGTGCCTGAGAGGTGGGGGCACCTGGCCACCCCCTCTGCTGCTTGGAATGTCTCAGAAGACATGCTTCGCTCTGTCAGAGGACAGGAAAGAGAAGCCATCGGTTCAGGCCGTTCCAGACGCTGCAGAAGAGCCTGCTCTGGTGCAGCTGGGCCCGGGCACTGCTGCCCGCCCACCCGCCTGCCCGCCTGCCCGCCTGCCCTCTCGGGGTGCAGGCTCCGCACACTCAGGGGCTCAGCGAGAACAGGCACCAAGTGCTCGGACGAGTTTGGTGGTTTCTCAAAAGGTTAACTAGCCTGGCCTGCATGGCTGGGTCAGTCTATGTAAGGACCAGGAGGTCACGGTTCCATTCCCAGTCAGGGCAATGCCAGGTTTGCAGGCTCCATCCCCAGTGTGGGGCGTGCAGGAGGCAGCCAATCCATGATTCTCTCTCCTCACTGATGTTTCTCTCTCTCCCTCTCTGAAATCAATAAGCAAACAAACAAATAAAAAAACAAATAAATAAAGTTAACTACCCTACAATTCTACTCCTGGCATCCATCCAAAAAAATGGAAACAGATATTTGCACACCACATTCATCACAGCACTATTCACAACAGCCACAATGTGCAGACAAAGCAAGTGGTCTTGGCGATACAAAGTGTGGCATATTCATACAATGAGGTATTATTTGGCCAAGCCCGGCTGATAGGGGGGACGGAGCCTTCCTGCCCTCTGTCCTGCACCTGGCCCGTGGGGACAGGATCCTTCCATTCTGCAGGAGACACCCCCCACCCTGCAGCCTGCAGCACCCTGGCTGGTGGGCACTTGCTGGGTCCCGGGACTGGCCACAATCCCACCCAGACCGGCCCCAGCACATACAGGCAGCTCCTTCTTGGCAACTAGCCTCACCCTGGAGCAACCTCCGGCGCGGTAAGGGGCTGATGGGAAATGAATTGAAATCGATCTGGTGCGCAGAACCCAAAGGCACTCTGCTTGGTAACAAGGGTCTGAACCTGCAGGCTCTGCCCTGCAGTGCAGGACGTGGCTTCCGGGGGTGCTGCAGACGTGGGGGGAGCATGTGCGCGGTGGGGAGGTGGGCTCACTGGGAGGTCTGATCAAATAACTGAATGGACACCCCTCCCTCCGGAACTGGCTTTTCAGGCCGTTTCACGACAGACATCCCCTTCGCCCAGACCACATTTCACTTGTTGCGACCACACTCCGGGGGCGCCCAGGCAAAAGCCCGCCAAAGCCCTTTACAGGCTGCTGCTCCGGTCCCTGCGGGCTGGAGCCGGCCAGGCTCAGCCACCTGGTGCGCGGACGGTGGGATAAATCCTAATCCCTCACCACGCCGCCCCTGCCTTCCTCCTCCTCTGCCTTCCTCTCCGGGACCGAGTCCCCGTGCACGCAGGGCACCCGCCTTGGTGGCCCCCAGGGGGCGGTGAGGGCCCGGGCGGATGGAAATCAGGGAACTGCCAGGTGGGAGGCCGCGGCCACTCAGCAGATCTGGACACCGGATTTGGGGGGTGGGGGCCTCTCGGGGACACAGTTTGGGATCGATACGCCCGACTAATCCCGAGGCTAAAAGTTTTGGTCCCCGCCCCGCCCCCACCCGCCCACGCGCCGGGCTGGGCCCCGCGCACCTACATCCACATCCACCCCCGCCCCGGCCAGCGGCGGGAAGGCGCACTTTCCCGTCCGAAAAGCCGCGAAAACCCGTGATGAACGATGAGCCCTCTTACAGCTCATCGCCCCCAAATGCCCTCCCTCTTCCCCCGCCCCAAACCCCCCGGGTCCCCGCGGGGCGCTCCCAGGCTCGCGGCCCCGCGCCCCCCGCAGGCGCAGTGGGGTCCGGCCGGGGCCACGTGGGCGCTGAGCCCCGGCTTCGGGGAGCTCCGGACCCGCGGAGGGGGTCCCGGGGACCCGGGAGGGGTGGCCGGCTCCTCTCCGCCGCGAGCGGCTGCAGATGATGCAACCCCGGGGGGGGCGGAGGCCCGGGACCCCGGGACCCGGCCGGGCTGGCCGGGCTGGGCCCACCTGGATGGAGCGCGGGGAGGAGGCGAGCGGGCGCGTCCGAGGGCGGCGAGCGGCGGCGGCGAGGCGAGCGGCGCGCGGAAGACGCGACCCCCGGCGCGGGCGGCACCCTGACCCCGCCGAGCGCGGCTGCACGGCGATTGGCCGGCGGCGGGGGCGAGGGCCGGCGCCCGACCAATCCCGAGCGCGGAGAGCCCGCCCGTCGCCACGCCCCTGACACGCCCCCTACTTCCCCTGCCCCGCCTCCCTCCCCCTCCCCCCTCCGGAGGGGGCAGGGCCGCACCCCTCCCGGCCCCCCTGCAGCCCCGCGGGTGGGGGCCCCACCCCACGCCCGACCCAGGCCCCGCTCGCCCCACCCACTCCCCCTGTTTAGCCGGGAGAACCCCCCTCCCCGTGCCCGCCCGTCGCCCACTCCCCGCGGCTCCCCTATGGTCCCGGACCCCCAGGTCCCGCCCGGGCCCTCCCCATGTCCGCGGCCTCCGGCTGGGCGGACGCGCAGTCCCCGTTGTCCCGAGGCGTTTTACCGGGTAACGGCTCGCTTCGCGGGCTAATGAATGCTAAGCGTGCCGGCTGGTGGGGCAGGACTTGGAGGGCCCCGAGGATGAGCCTCAGCAAACCTCCCGCCCTGGGGCCCCCGCCGCCTGGTCCCCACGGCCTGGGACCCCCTCGCTGGGGGCCTGCAGGGCCCAATGCTGAGGCTGCCCCGCGCACAGTGGGCGCCTGGGATCCGCATGAACAGGTGGGAGGGTTTTCAGGATCCTTCCTCGCCCCTCCTTGTCCCGGGGCTCAGACACTCAGGAAGCCACCCCAGCTCACTGAGCCTTGGTCAGAAGTCTCAACAGCCTCTTAAACAGAGGTCACACAGGCGGTCCCCATCCATGGGTATTGGGGCTACCGGCCAGGAGGGGCCTGGAGGCCCCTGGGAGATCACGTCTAACAATATTGCAAATATGTGTGCTCCGGAGTCCCCGGGACTGAGTGGAGTACCCCTCACCCCAACTTTCTCAGCATCGGGCCAGTCCAGGACAGTAATGCCAGGTTTGGACACAGGTGGGCACATGGAGCCACCGTTATTTGGCAAGTCCCTGCACCTGCCCACGCTATGTATGAAGACGTTGTTTGTTTTTCTTTTTTTTTCAATGCTCAACCACCAGGCCACGCAGGTGCTGCCCAAGGAGAATAGTTTTGAAGACATGGTCGTTTTTTAAGTTCCCAGGTCAGGTATTTAGGTGATGCTTCCTCATGATTAGTCTCGGGGGGTGCGCTTTTGCTGATGCAGTGAGAGCCACTCTGAGTGTCTGACCTGTCAGGGGCACCTGCCATCCGTGTGCCTTCTCTGGCACAGGTAACTTTGAACACTTGCTTTCTCCCTGGCAAAGTTACTATATTTACCCTTCGTCATTAACAAGAATCCCTTGGGGAGATACTTTGAAACTATGCAAATACCCTTCTCAAACTCTCCCTCTCCCGCCTTAGCTTCCATTGATGATTTGTGTGGGCCTGAATCAATTTCCATTAAATTGGTGGCCAAAGGGTGATCTATCTTTCTTTCTTTCTTTCTCTTTCTTTCTTTCTTTCTTTCTTTCTTTCTTTCTTTCTTTCTTTCTTTCTTTCTTTCTTTCTTTCTTTTTTTCTTTCTTTCTTTCTTTCTTTCTTTCTTTCTTTCTTTCTTTCTTTTTTTTTTTTGTTCAGCTGTGCAATGGCATCTGCCTTTATTTTATTTAATTTTATTTATATATTTTATTGATTTTTTACAGAGAGGAAGGGAGAGAGATAGAGAGCTAGAAACGTCGATGAGAGAGAAACATCGACCAGTTGCCTCTTACAACCCCCCCACCAGGGATGTGCCCACAACCAACGTACATGCCCCTGACCGAATCGAACCGGGACCTTTCAGTCCACAGACCGACACTCTATCCACTGAGCCAAACCGGTTTCGGCGAAAGGGTGATTTTTCTAATCTCATCATTCCTTCTACATTTTATTTGGCATTCCACTACATTTTGTCTTCTCGCCCACTTATTTATCTAATTATGTATTCATACCAGGGAGGATCCAAGATCCTTTTCTTTTAAAAGCGTACATTTTACCATTGAAAGTGCACAATCCACCCAGCCAAGGTTGCTCAGTGGTTGAGCATTAACCCATGAACTAAAAGGTCACTAGTTCAATTCCTGGTCAGGGCACATGCCGAGGTTTTGCCTCGATCCCCAGTAGGGGGCATGCAAGAGGCAGCCAATTGATGCTTCTAGCTCTTTATCCTTCTTCCTTCCTCTCTCTAAAATAAATAGATTTTTTGGGGGAAAAGAAGAATGCACAATCCAATGGTTTTTAGAATGCAGATGATATTTAGTACTCAGGATTATGCCATCATCATAATATACAGGAACATTTCTGTCACTCAAAAGAGAAACCTGCATCCATTAGTAGTCCCTGACCATCCCCCTACAACCTTGCGGCGGGGGGTAAACCACTCCTTTACCTCATTTATGTCAGGTGGATTCATGGAGTCTTGCCTGTAGAGAGCGCCTGGGAAGGCACACAGGCATTTCTTTCATTATTGTCAGTGAATCTAGTGGCGTTGGCAGAGCCACATCCTGGAAACACACCTTGCCGGAGGCAGGAGTGTTGTCAGCTTGACCTTTAACCCAGGTGCCAGGGGGTGGGTTTCATTATCTAAATCCAGCCAAGCACCAGGAATGAATATGATTCGAGCCAACTCAAGAATGCACGTACCACCTGCTTCCTGGCTTGAAGACAATGGAGTGGGAGGAGGGGATGGACTAGCTCTCTCCTGTCTCTTCTTATAAGGGCATTAATTCATCATGAGGATTCCACCTCCATATACCATCATATTGGGGGTTAGGACTTAGACATACAAATTTTTTATGTGTGGTAGGGGTGAGGGGACACAAATATTCAGTCCAGCCCTAGTCGGCTTGGCTCACTGGATAGAGCATTAGCCTGTGAACTGAAGGGTCCCAGGTTCAATTCTGGCCAAGGGCACGTGCCTGGGTTTCAGGCTTGATCCCCAGTAGGGGGTGGGCA